GACTTGCAGATGTTTTCACCAGTTCTCTGGGTTGTCTCTTCACTTCCTTCATGGTAAGAAATCATCAAGACACTGGTCTTTTTGTGCTTTCTTCAAAGTACTTTTGCCTTAAAAGTATTTTTACTCCTAAGTTTATCACCAAGAATCTTTAAAACATAATATAGTGGTGCCTCATTTCATGAACTTGATTCTTTTTATGATTCTGGCTGCAAACGGAGTTGGACGAGAACTGACTCAAATTCAATGGTTAGGTTCAACGTTGACCTTATGGGGAAATTTGATTCGGTTCTCGTCCAGTTTGATTTGTGACCAGAATTGTGGAGAAAATTGAGTTCATGAACCGAGGCACCACTGTATAACATATTTTTTTTTCTTTAAATACAAAATTGTACAAAGAACAATTTTTTTAAAAATAGAATGGCTCTCTCTGTGCTAATAACATCTTGATTTTTTGATGGAAGACTAAAGGAAATACATGTAGGTTTAGATATTATTTACAGCACAGAAAAGTACAAAAGGAATAGAAACAGTTCCTTTTACTCCTAGTTTTTCCCTGGTAGCCATGAGAATCAACAGTGTCTTATAATTCTCTCCAGGAAAATAGAAATGTTTTATGCATAGACCTACACGTTAGGACACACACACACACACACACACACACACACACATGCTCGAACAACACAAAAGGCTATTTGTGTTGTACATGTCACAGATTTTACTTAATGAATGTTAAAGATCGTTTGAATTCCAGCTGATGTTACTCTGTGCCATGCATTAGGCCCAAGTTCTTTACCTCTGTTATTCAAAACCTTACACAACTCTGTGAAAAGAGCTTTATCATCCGCCTTTACTTTATGAGGACATTCAGCTCAGGGCAGTTTAGTCACTCTCCCAATGTCACACAGCCAGTAAGCGGCAGAGCTGGGGTTGAGACCCTGGCCTCTTGAGCCTGCTTGTATCTACTCTCCACGCAGCACAGGTTCTGCCGCATTGCTTCTGAACATCTGCAGCCCCTCCCCTGAAGGGCTGTATCCTCTCACCTGTTTGATGGAATTGCTTGTTGCAGGTTCCTCAGTATAAACTCTACTGTGTGCGGTATCTTCATATCGTTCACTTGGCTGATATTTGCACATCACACAGGATAAATTCCAATAAGCGGCACTGCTGAGTTAAAGGTTCCGTCAAAAGTTAGTTTTGACCACTTCTGGGTATTCACCCAGAAGAGCTGAAAACAGGGACTCAGACAAGTCCTGCACACCCATGACTAGAGCAGCCTCATTCACAGTGGCCAACGGGTGATGGATGAATGGACAATATGTGGCACATACAAACAATGGAACATTTTTCAGCCTTAAAAAAAGAAGGCAATTCCAACACCATAGGTGGACCTGGAGGGTATTGTGCTCAGGGAAATAAGCCAGTGATAGAACGACAACTGCAGCACAATTCCACCTATATGAGGTACCCAGAGAAGTCAAATTCATAGGGAAGGAAGTAGGAGGGGCTGGGGGAAGAGCAGTGGGGAGTGCTTGCTTCATGGGCACAGAGTTTCAGCTTGAGATGCAAACAGTTCTGGAGTTCTGGAGATGGACCGCACTGCTGGTTGCACAAAATGCAGCTGCATGCAGTCAACACCGCTGACTGTACAATTACAAATGATTAAAGTGCTGCATTTTATATGTATTTTTATTGGAATAAAAAGTCAGTTTTGAGCTGGGTGTGGTGACACATGCCTGTTATCCTAACACACTAGTGAAGCTCAGGCAGGAGGATCACAAGTTTAAGCCCAGCCTGGGCAATTTAGCAACTTAGCAAGACCTTGCCTCAAAATAAAATAATTAAAAAATAAATAAGAAAGGGCTAGAGATATAGTTGAGTATAAAGGCCCTGAGTTCAATCCGTACCAAAAAGAAAAGAAGAAGGAGAGGAAGAGGAAGAGGAGGAGGAGGAAGAGCAAAAGGGAGAGAAAGAGGAGAAGAGAGAGTCGGTTTTAATAACTCAAAACTGTCATCTAAAAAAAGAAGTATGTGCTAGGTGTTTTTTATTTCCCTTTCCTTTGATGCATGACATTTTAGCTTGTTTTGATTATTCATAACACCATTTGGATTATTACCTGATTAGGGTTTAGTGCACACTTACAAACCAAGTTCTCAAGTTGGAAAAGACCTGCATGAAGATGCCATTGGGTACCACTGGTTGTGGTGCAGGAGTTTGCTCTTTCTTGGAGGTGGATGGGTGGTTTTCTCATCCAGGCCCCCTCCACTGCTCCCAGGGAGCTGTGTATGTGTATTTCTTTGCTGCTGGATGAGAACATGCGTACAGAGCTCTGTGTAAAAGCTATACATTTACAGGGCAGCTCATCAGGGTTTGTACTACAGTGTGTGCCGTAATTTTGGTTTGGAAAACCTCCCTAGGGATGTCTGGCAGTGTCCGGAGACAAATTTGGTTGTCACAACTGGGGAGAACGCCACTGGCATCTAATGGGAGCTGCGGCTGGGGTACCACTCAGCATCTTGCAATGCACAGGACAGTCCCACCACGGGCCCAAATTCTGTGGTGCCTGGCTGGACAAACTCTGGTTTAATCCTAAAAATTATCTGGTAGGGTTTCTCTTTGCAATCACTGGGGATGGAATTGCAACTTTTAGGCAAAACCAATGATTCAAATTTTTTATTACAGGATTCTTGGAAAAAAACAATGATCTTCTTTACAGACATCTGAAAGAAGTAAGTCCAAAACCTAACCCAGCCTGTTTCTGATGGTTGTGAAATCTGCTCTGTGACATGGTATTTGGGATAGATTTGGCCTTCTGGATGTTTTGCATCCATGCATTATGTTAGGGCTCCAGCATGTCATGACCAGAACAGGCATTTAAAACCAGTTGTGCAAACCTTTTCCCCAGCGAACTGGCTTGGTGTGCATATATGTATGATATTCCCCTGTGCACCAGCTCAGGAGCTACAGAAGTGAGCAAGACAGGCTCCGTGTTCTGGTGGGATTTTCAGTTGGGGGTGTGAGTAGGGAATAAATACACACACAAATTATTCATCAGTCAGGGTGCTATGAAGAAATTAAACAAAGAACTGTGACTGAAAGAGACACTGTAATTTAGATGATCAGAAAAAAATATCCCTGTGGAGATAACGTTGATCTGAAACCTGAATAAGAACAATTTGGGCCATAGAAAGATCAGGAGTTAGTCCTGTAGAGGGGCCAGCATGTGCAAAGGCCCTGTGGCCAGGATGCGCTCAGAGTGTGGTCAGGCTGAGAGCTCAGCAGTGTGAGATCCACAAGGAGGAGCAGAGACTTCTCTGGTGCAGTGAGAATATGCTGGGTGACATGACCGGAGGATGAGGAAACAGGCAGAGAGGCTACAGCTTGCTCAAGGTCACCTCTCAGGGTAGGGCCAGAGCTCAGATTAGCCCCTGGAGTCACCAGTGAAATTGCCAGTCTGTTTTTGTGTGCCTCACCTACCAGAGAAACATTGAAACTTCAGAATTGTTTGTTGGTTTGGGGAAGGGGGACGAGGAGTCGAACGCAGAGCCTTTGTACTGAGCTATATCCCCAGCCCATTTCATTTCATTGTGAGACTGGGTCTAAGTTGCTAAATTGCCCCGGCTGAGCTCAAACTTGCAGGCCTGCCTCAGCCTCCCAGAGTGCGGGGATTATAGATGTGTGCCACCGTGCCTGGCACCCCAGAGGTTTTGGTTATTGTTGCTTTTTTGTGACAATCTCACTAAGTTGCCAAGGCTGACCTCAAATTTGTGATCTTCCTGCCTCAGCCTCCAGAGTGGTGGGGTTACAGGTACACACCACTGTACTCGCTTTTACCTTATGTTGTTAAAACCTTTGGCTCTGAAATAGCTGGCTTGCACAAAAACAGGTTTTACTTAGTTCGCTTGTTTCATAAAAACCTGAAGTGCATACCAGGCATGGTAATGCACACCTGTAATCCTAGCACTAGGGAGGCTGAGGCAGGAGGATCACGGTAAGTTCAAGGCAGGCCTGGGCTACACTGTGAGTTCAAGGCCAGCCTGCAGTACATGGTGAGACCCTGTGTCAGAAACAAAATCTGAAACACAAAGACAGCATTTTCAAAATGACCAGGCAAGCAGTTCACATCAGGAGTGATCTAGGCCCTTTCTGAGCTTTTTCTGTCCCCTCCTGAGGTGCTTGCCCCAGGCTCGCTGGGTTCTAAACTTTGAATCTCTGCACCAGGCAGTGGATCTTCCTGACAGATTCCCCATCTGTGAATGAGGTGACTACATCTCCTTGGGGTCTTTGTGGAGCAAAGAGCCTGGTTGATCAAAGGGACTGTGCTCCTCTCCTGGCTCCCCGTGGCTGCAGCCGTGTGCGTCCCAGCCCCATTCCGGAGCACCTTGAAATCTCCCACTTCCCCCCCACTCCCGGGTAGAGCCTTCTCCTGCCCCCAACTGCCTTCTGACGTTAGGAGGAAGTCAGTCCTCATCTCGTTCCCTCCTATCTGCAAATCACTCCTCCATGCCTCTGTTAGTTTAGAAGCCCGCTGGGTTGCCTTTTGTGACTAGCTTGTTTCACTTAACAAGTTTGTCTCCATAGGACCATCGGCTCTTCCTGGGTTACTGTGTATCCTTCCAAGGGGTCACACAGGCCAAGATGTGTGGGTCTGTGTCTCCCCTTTTTCCTTCTCTTTATACAAGCAGCCCCTGCAGTTCTGCATCGTGCATTTTTCACTTAACACCATTTTCAAGGGGTTCTCTGTCTTTTTGGTTTGGTTTGGTTTGGTTTATTTTTAAAGAATTTCAAACCTTTATTTAAATAAAACGCCTTCATTACAAGTTTAAACTCTGTTTTTTGTTTTTTTGTTTTGTTTTGTTTTGTTTTTTCTCTGGTACCGGGAACCGAACTCACGACCTTGCACGTGCCAGGCAGGCGCTTTTGCCGCTGAGCTAAACCCCCAGCCCCACAAGTTTAAACTCTGAAGAAGCTCTCCCTCCCCCGCACCAAATATACAGAAATACCGACTACGGAGAAAATTCTTCATTTCAAATGGTAATTTTTAAATAGGTAAAAGATGATATTCGTGGGGGTCAGCCCATTCTCCAACAGGCAGGGCAGTCCCTGGAGCCAAAGTCTCGGGGCTCGTACGGCGACTGTGTCCTGAACTTACAGGGGGCCAATTTCCATACTTGCTCAGGAGGGATAAAGTGTATGTGGTCCTTTGGTGCTCCTTAATGTCCCTCCTGCATGAGGCCCTCATTTTCCACTTCATGTGAAGCTGAGATTTTCTCTCCCATAGTTTTTTTTTTTTTTTTGGATCCACAACCATTATTGTCTCTTACCTTTTCCCCAAGAGTTAACATAAACGCTCTTTGAATATGGCATGATATCGGTAAGAACCCCACCCCTCTGAATTTGCCGGTTCATCAAGGATTGAACTTTCAAAAGAATACCTACACCTGCACTTGAGCTTTGATCCCGCAGTGAGAGACAGGATAAACACCCGAAGTAATCCGTCCACCTCCTGGGTGCGGCACAGCGAGTTGTCAGGCACAGTGCAGGAGGCAGGGCTTCCTTGCTATTCCCAGGAGCCCTCCACTTAATTCTCACCCGCAGCCACGGCTCCCTGCGGGTTGTAATCACATCCCCAAACCATGAGCAGACACAGAGAGCAGAGGGGCAAGACTAACACGCTAATGGCCTTTGTCACTGCAGGTCTGCATCCAGGGTACGACAAGAAACAGATTTTTTGGTATTTTTTTTGGCAGGGGGTTGTTTGTTTTATAGTGCTTGGGATGGAACCCAGAACTCTACCATTGAGTCATATCTCCAGGCCTTTTTTGGTTTTTTGAGATAAGGTCTCACTATGTATTCCGGGCTGGCCTTGAACTCACTATGTAGCCCAGGCTGGCCTCAGACTTGCTGTGGTCCTCCTGCCTCAGCCTCCCGAGTGCTGGGAATACAGGCTCCACACACCCGGCTCTCACTCATTTTAGTTAGAAATGTCTTCAGGTGCCCAGGCAGCAGCTGGCCCTGTGATCTCTCCACATCGCTGTGAGTCTCTTGCGGGGCCTTCCTGATTTCTGCAGCAGCCACGGAGGGGCTCACTTCTCCCGTTGCAGGTGCTGTGCCGCTGCCAGAACAGTATCCTGAGGGAGTGCTTCCTGGTGGCTGAGCTGGAGAACCGGCGGCGGCCGCCCACGGTGAGCAGGGAAACACTGTGTAGACCCGGAATGGGAACAAAAGTCACCTGCAGGTGTACTGCCCTCCTGCTATCTATGCTTTTCAAGCCACCCTCTGCCTTTTCTGTTAGACACTGTCTAACAGATCCTACTAAATGTGTGCTTTCCACACTGCGCACCAGTTCATTCATTGTAGCCGTGGACGGAGCACCTAGAATGCATCAGGCCTGTACTGGGCTCTGGGATCAGCAATAACAAGCTGGCCAAGGTCCCTCCCACAAGGGCAGACCATCTATTAGGAGGGGTACCGGAAAAGAGCACCCACTTACATCGTGCAGTGTCATGACGGAAGTGTGGTGAACGAGGAAGCCAGGAGAGGAGGTGGAGGGTGCTGGCTCTGTGAGGGCGCTAGTTCCTCGGAGGCGCTCCCTGGGTATCAGCTCAGTGAGGGCGGCATCCTGGACAGATGCTGTCCAGCCACTGTTTGAGCAGAGCAGTCTTGGGCATCTCGGGTCAGGACACCGCGGCCTCCCCTTCGTGAGCAGCGGAGCAGTCGGTGGGGGGATCCATCAAGAGCTGGGTCTCGAGGCCGGAGCCTTGCACGCTGCTCCGTCTTGCCCCATCACATGGAAGCGGCGATGTCTGCACCGAGCTTTCTCACTCCACAGGTGGGCACTCAGTTCAAGAACAGCCTGAGCAGCCTCCTGGAAATTCTCATCTCCAAGGAGCCTTCGTACATCCGCTGCATCAAGCCCAACGAGAGGAAAGAACCCAGTGAGTGGAGACTGCTCTGAACGCTGAGCTCAGGGGAAGAGGCTGGAGGCAAAGCAGGAGGGCAGTAATTTAGGAGCTTTAAAACCACTCCAGGCTCACTGTCCTATAGCACAAAACCACGGTCCTTTTTAAACAACAGAAGGTAAATGAACTGTGAGCAGAGGTCCTTCGGCAGCCCAGAGCTTGGCCAGTTTCAGGAGCAACTCAGCAGAGCGCGGCAGGTGTCAGAGATGAGGGGTGCAGCACGGCTTCTTCCCAGCCAGTGAGCAATCTTCCAACACCCCTCACCCTAATTTGGGTATTTGCTATGCTCTTGCCATGATCTATAAGGAAGTCATATAGTCAGAGGCTCACAGGGCCAGGCAGGCAGGACAAATGGCGGGGCAGACCGGGAGTAAGGTGATAGGGAGTGGCGGAGACTTCAGCAAACTGTGGAGGACACGGCAGTGCTATTCCCTTCCAGCCAGTCATTGCTACATGGAACCATGGGCCCAGGGTGGCCACATCTCATGATTTCTCCACAGAAACTAGAAATCTAGACACTTTCCCCTCTGAAGGACACAAGTGAGGGCTAGTACAATGTGTCCATCCCAGAGGCGGCCCACAGACCTTCCGCTTGCAGCCTCTGGTCTGGTATGATGGAAACAGAGCCACAGGGTCCTTCACTGTCACTGTTCCTCCTGTTTCTCCAAAGGCAAGTTTGATGACTTCCTCGTAAGGCATCAGATCAAGTACCTGGGGCTGATGGAGCATCTACGGGTGAGACGGGCTGGCTTTGCGTACCGGCGGAAATATGAGCATTTCTTGCAAAGGTAAAGTTTGCTCTGTGTGTCTAAGGCCTTTAAAGGTGGATGCCTACTACATGCTCATCCTTGGGATACAGTAATAAATAAAAGGGTATCCTTTAGGGAACTCATTTCAGTTCTTAATTTGTAACTTTGATAGCAAAATAATAATAATAATAATAATAATAACATTTGAGAAACTATAAAAACCCAAGAATAAAGAACCTCATCAAAATATGGGCCAGTGAAATGAATAAATACTTCACAGAAGAAGCACAAATGGCCAATAAATACATGACAAAATGCTCAACATGACTGGCCATTGTAAATTAAGTATAAAATTAAAATGACACTGAGATTCTGTCTTACCCCAGAAAGAATGGCCATCACTGAGGGGTCAAATAATAACAAATGCTGGCGAGGCTGTGGAAGGAAAGGAACCCTTCTACGCTGCAGGAGTGTGAAGTAGCACAGCCATGATGGAAATCAGCGTAGAGAGTCCTCAAAAAATTAAAACTAGGAATTCCATTTGACCCTGCTGTTCTCCTTCTAAGCACCTTTCTGAAAGTGTTAAAGACAGCGTGTCAAAGTGAATACATGCACGCCTGTGTTTCTAGCAGCACAATTCGTAACAGGTAAATCTCGGGAGCAGGCTGCACACCCATCAGCAGATGAACGGGTAAAGAAAATGTGGTATTTACACACAGCGGAGCACGACTCTGCCATGAAGAATGATAAGCCTGAGTCATTTGTAGGAAAATGGATGCACCTTGAGACCATAATGTTACATGAAATAAATCAGACACACAGGCTTAAATATCACACAGTTGCTCTTATGAGACCCAAACTATAAATAAAGAGCAAAACAAAAGAGAGATAATAGGAAGTGGAGAGCTAGATGTTTCTCATATAGGAAGGGGATCAAGAGATGGAGGAAGAGGAAGAAGGAAAGGGGATCAAAAGGGCAGCTGAAGGGGCCGGGGATATAGCTCAACAGCATAAGAGCCTGCCTGGCAAGTGCAAGGTCCTGACTTCAATTCTCAGTACAAAACAAAAAGAGCAGCTGAGGTGTGTTGCACACATGTACCGACTCCCCACAGGCATGGAAACACTATGCTGCAAACGTGTACTAATAAAAGTGTTAAAAAATAATAAAACAAAACCCCAAGTCAGTTTCTTTTTTTTTTTAATAGTGGGGGTTGAGCCCAGCACAAGCTATATCCCTAGCCCTCTTTATTTTTTATTGTATTTGATTTTGATTTTGTTTCTTTTTGTTTTGCTTTTTGTTTTGTTTTGTGAGACATGGTCTCGCTATGTAGTTCAGGCTGGCCTTGAGCTCACTTTGTAACCCAGGCTGGCCTTGAACTCAAAACGATCCTCCTGCCTCAGCCTTCCGAGTGCTGGGATTACAGGTGTGCACCACCACACCCGACTTGATTTTGATTTTGATTAAATAAATTTTTTTTAATTTTTATTTTGAGGTCTTACTAAGTTGCTAGGTTGCCCAGGCTGTGCTCAAACTTAGAGTTCTCCTGCCTCAGCTGCCTCGACGCTAGAATGACAGTCCTGACCGGCTGCTTTATTTCTCTAAGCCCTAACTTCCTGCAGTTGAGTTAGAGGAGGCCAGGTGCACAGACCTGTCACCAGGGGGAACCCGCCTGCTGCTGGGGAGGACTCTCCATCTGTGACACCGTGCTGGGTTAGCGCCTGGGCCTCCTGGGCTGTTGAGAATGTCCGTGCAGTGATGGCGTGGGGAGCGGGTGTTGTAACCACACAACCTCCGTCAGAAACTTCACTGTTTTCTAGAGCCGTGGCCTACTTTCCACCTGTAATATGAAGGTTAAACAGTCATCAAGGAGTTTATAAGAATTTAATGAAAGGATCTAAAGATATAACCTGCTCTCCAATTGCTTGTTCAGCAGCATTTCTTTGTGGCGACAGGCTAGGGTGATTTTGCACTACTCAAAAAGCAACGCTGTCAAGGTGGGCATGATAAATGGCCATCTGTGTACATCATAAAGCTCCATCGTTGCCGGTTTTGCATCACCCACCCCGTTACTGGCTCCGTTTGAGTGGTGGTGGGTTACCTGCTGTTGTGCTTTCTCTTTTTTGGATGTCCCTCCACTACCCACCATTTTTGCCCTTCATCTGTTTGTCATTCATTTACCCCCATCCCGTCCATTTTTCACAATCTGGCTTTTGGTGACACAAGCAGGAGGCAACAGCCACTGCCCACCCCACATCGAACACACAGGCTCCAGACACTCCCCTCGCTGCAGCTCTGCTGCCGCCTCCATAGACCCTGGTGAGCACCTCCGCGGAGCCAACACCGTCCCGGTGTCAGGTGACAGCAGACAGGCGGGCAGGACCCCCAGCCTGCGCTCATGGAGTTTACTTTCTAGTGGGGGAGACTGGCAATAACAAGAGATGTGTGAGGCAAGGTGGGGACAACTAGGTAGGGGACAGGGTGGAGAGCCCCTTGTGAGGTAAGGGGGCACAGTTGTCTTCATAGGGGCTGCGTATTAGAAGGGAGTTGCACGCTGCAATTGGGTTCTTAACACTGGAGCCAAAACTGCCCTTGGAAGCAATTCTTCATCATTGCCCAAATATAGTACGTTTGTGTGGGGCGAGGGGTACTGGGGGATAAACCCAAAGCCTTCACACCAAGCTATATCCCTAGTCCTTTATTTTTTGAGATAAACTCTTACTAAGTTGCCCGGGCTGGGCTCAAACTTGTAATCCTCCTGCGTCAGCATCCCAGGATGCTGGGATGACAGGTACACACCTCCAAGTCCGGGTGAACATTACCTTTTCTTTTGGTTCAGGTCCACATTCGTTTGTCTGTGCAGCTGTCTGCTGATGGGCGTTAGAGTTGTCCACCTCTTAGCTACTATGAATAACGCTGCTATGAACATTTGCACACAAGTTTTGTGTGGATACAGCTTTTGTTTCTCTTGGGTTCATATGGAGGAATGGGACTGAGTTACTAGGGTTGAGTGTCCAGTGATGCCGTTGCTATATACGCACAGGGGAAACTGCCCAATTGAATGAACCACTCATTTCTTTCTTGCCAAGTGTATATTGTTGAATTCAAGAAAGTCCGTGTGATGAGACGGCTACATTGCACCAAGCGGCTGAGATACTGCCGGGGAGCTAAGCACACCTGGGAGAGGAGAGAATGCGCTCCCATGACAGCTGCTATATGTCCTTCTCTCTGGGCAGGTACAAGTCCTTGTGCCCCGACACTTGGCCACACTGGCACGGGCCTCCAGGAGAGGGTGTGGAACGGCTGATCAAGTACATCGGCTACAAGCCCGAGGAGTACAAGTTAGGGAAGTAAGTGGCCAGGAAGCTGCTAGATATTTCCCTGCAGTTGAAATATTTTGTGCATTGGGGCTGGGGATTTAGCTCAGCGGCAAAAGCACCTGCCTGGCAAGTGCAAGGTCGTGAGTTCGGTTCCCGGTACCGGAGAATAACAAAAAAAAAAAAAAAAAATATTTTGTGCATTGATCTGCATTCATCTAGAGCCTCGTTTTTTAGAGATTTATACCAGCACATGTTTCCACCTGCTCCATTTAAGTGCAGCCCTAATGCTCAGGAGGAGATGAGGCTTGACAGGAGCCCTGTGTTCTAGACCTGACTTAAAAGCTGGGATGAGACTCTTCATACAAAATGAAGAGGGGTGGACCCCTACCTCTGTGTGCCTGGATTTTTCCATTGTTCCAATGTGTGTGCAACCTCCCAGAGGCAATATTAGGACCTGTACCAGGCACAGTCAATCATCTTTAGTGTCCCAGACAGTAGTGTTCCAATGCTGAGTATCATTACTATGGGCAGAGGTGCAGTAGTCCGTGACTGGGAAACTTTCACACATGTTGAAAGCTTTCAGTATAACACAGTTGGATGAATCAGGGTTATTTGCATCTGTTTTGTTAGTCATTTGGGTCAGGGTCCATTTGGTTGCACAGAACAGTGCCTAAGCATGGAGAAGACCTGTTCCCAGACCACAAGGCTCCCCTGCGTCAGGGATCTATGCCTTTGAATCTCTCGGTGGGCTCTGCTAGCTCCTACCTCCCCCTTGCATGTGGTCACTCTCTAACTTCTATTCGGGGCCCTGTTCCAAGAATCACTTACTTATTCAATCCAGATACCTGAAGGGCTTCAGCTCAGCCTTTCCTGAGTGAGGCAGACCGTGGAGGTCAGAGTCTGTATCTGTCCTTCCCATTCCATAACTTGGAAGAGAGAGTAGGATCTTGCGACATGGTGCTCTGCTGCCCCCTAGAGGCCATCCCGGGAAGCTTCCCTCACAAGGTGGGTGTGTGGGCTACCAGGCAACCTAAAATGAGCACTTGAAACTTACCTTCTGCTGCTTAATGGGATCTTCTTGTAAATTTAGAGTATTTTTTCCAGTATTTGGGATTAAACCTTGGGCTAAGTACTGATCCGCATCCCCATTCTTTATTTTTTTGAGTCAGGGTCTTGCTAAATTGCCCAATCCTGCCTCGGTCTGAGTAGCTGGGATTACAGGTGTGTGCTACCATGTGTGGCTCTAGACCGCTCTTCTTTGTTGTAACCCTTTAAAGCTCAAGAGCATAACCTGAAGCAACTTTCTGTTCAGGTGGTAGATCCATTTTCCAGGGCTGCACAAGTCACCCCTAAAGCAATTTATTCTTTCGTACTTCTGGAAGCCAGAAGCCCAAAATCAAAGTGTGGGAAAGGCCTTCTGGAGCATCTATGAAAGAATCCCTCTCTACCTCGTCGGGCTTCTGGGGGATCCTGGTGTTTCTTAGCTATGACTTTGCTGTGATCTGGGCCGTCCTCGAGCGGTCTCGTTCTTTGGGTCCTCTTCTCTTTTTTCTTTTCTTCCCACCCGCTTTCAGTACTGGAGATTGACCCAGAGGCTTTGCACAGCCGCAGCCCTTTCTTTTTTTTTACTTTATATTTTCAGAATGTCACTTAGTTGCCAGGCTGGGTTTAAACTTGCAATCTTCCTGCCTCAGCCTTCTAGGGTGCTCAGATTGCAGACATGTACCCCCACACCCAGTTCTTTTCTAAGAATAATTTCATCGACTTTAGGGCCCAACAAATCCAGATGATCTCATCTCCGCCACTAATCACACCTAGAAAGACTTTCTACACGTCAAAGTCTGCATTTCGGAGTAGACATGAATTGGGGGTGGGGGACTATTCAGTTATTACAGGAGGTAAATGACCGATCAAAATTAAAACATTTCTTTTCACTTCTAGAACCAAGATATTCATTCGCTTCCCCAGAACTCTGTTTGCTACTGAAGATGCCTTTGAATTTAGTAAACATCAATTAGGTATGACTATTTTTTTGGCCCTGATTTCAACAGAATGTGAAATGAACAAGTGTAGCCTGGGGGGATAAATCTTAAACATTGGGTATCTGCTGTAACTTACAAACATTCTCTTTGGAACCACAAGCCAGCCATGAGATCGTGATGGTACATGTGAACTTATGCCTGAAACCAGTGCTGGGGTGGCAGTTTTGGATGCAGGCACATTTAAATGCCACGGTGCTCTCTTGGTTGTATGGAGCACACCCTGCTGTGCAGTTAGGACCTGAAGGAATGCGAGCCCATCCCATCAAGTCAGGTTTTGAAATTCTACTTGCACCAGTGTCTGATGTCAGCAGGTACAGGTTCAAAGCTTGCAGCCAGGGTGTTTGTTATGAATGGGAACTGAAGGCCATGCAGCTAGGGTTTGATCACGGCCTGTCTTGCTTCAAGGCCTGGGCTTGTAACTGCTCACTTGCTGGTCCCAGTTTTGACCCCTACAGCCACAGGCACCTATTGCTAGGGACTGCTGGAGGCGTGGGTGCTGGCTCAGGCTGGTGCACGGGCCTGGGTGGCATCTCTGAGCTCCCAGAGCATATGCTGCTGCTCCACAGGGCCCTCAAGGAACCTGGCCTTTCTCTGGGGGGACCTCAGTCACTGTGTGAGGGGATGGAGGATGGAGAAGCCACAGGCGTCTCATTGGGCGCTCACTATGGGCCTCACACTCCTCAGTAGCTGGGAAGCAGCTCTGCCATCTCTGTCCTGCACCCATTTGTAAGCTATGTAACAATGCCTGCCTCTCAGGGTGCCTACAGTCCGGGGGTGACCTCTAAGGCCTGATGCAGAACCGGGGGCTCTTACCCACCCTGAAGGAAGGAAAGAGAAAGGCAAAGAAGAGACTACCTGGATGGCATCAGGGAGCCAGGTCTAACACGAGCCACCCGTTCACAGCTCCGTCATGCCCAATCAGCACTGTGTCACTGCTTCCCTACACGCATTTGAGGGCCACAACCACAAAGACGCACAAATGAAAGCCATTTCACCAAAACTTTTGTTTTGTTTCAAGTTGCAAGAATCCAAGCCACATACAAAGGCTGCCTAGGAAGGAGAGAATACGTGAAGCAAAGAGAAGCAGGTAGGTGCACAGAACCAGACCGACACTCTCGCCCTTTCATCGGCCAGGCGCCATCTCTGTCCGGTCCCGCCCCTGCCCTTCCTTGAATCCTTGGTGTGGGCCCAGGCTTGAGGCCTCCTTTCCTTCTAACTTCCGCCCTGTGATCATAACCTTGCAGTCTGTTTGTTCCGTGGGCATGTTTTCTTTGTCCACTTTGGAAGGATAACTTTTTTTAAAGGTTTCAAACACTAGAGGTACCCTAGACACCCCTCCCAAATCATCCTCAAGCCACGCCCCACCCCCATTTCTTAGAAGTGACCCGTTAAAAGTATGCGGTTCTCAATCCCTTGTTTTTCTTTACAATTTCACCATCTAGGGGTGTAGCACTCAATATATTTATAGTTTGGCGTGTGTCAAACTTTAAAAAATTATACAGTTGATATTTTGTGGTCATATTTTTCGTGCTATTTTTTTATAATTCAACCAGGGGATGTGTAGACTTACTCATTTATAGCTGCCTAGCACTTCACTATGTCAGAGGTCCATCAGATAGTGAATATTTTAACATTTGTGAGTCATCACAGGCTCTGTCATACCTAACCAGCTCTGCCATTGGGGCCTGAAAGTAGCTTTAGACAATATATAAATGCATGGGCATTGCTGTGTTGCAGTAAAGCTTTATTTACATTAACAGGTGGCTGGTCTTCAGCCATAGTCTGCCAGCCCCTGAGCTATGGAAGTCCACAGTCTAGTTCTGCTGACTAGCATTTGGGTCATTTTCAGTTGCTTGTTTGTTTCTGTAATAGAAACAGTGCTGCTCTGGAGAAGGAAAGAAAGGCACTTAACAAATCTGACGACAAAAAAATGAAACACAGCGGAGTGTGGTAGCACACGCCTGTAAACCCAGCACTCTAGGAGGCGAGGGCAAGAGGACTGCAAGTCTGAGTGCAGTCTGGGTAACTCAGCAACTTAGTAAGACTCTGTCTCAAAATATAAAATAAAAGGTGCTGGGGCCCTTTGGTGCCAAGTTCCTGGGTTCAATCCCCAGCGCCACCAAAAAGAAAAAAATTCTCCAAAATATTTACAAATTGGGAAACAAGCCAGGATCTAATGTGTGTGTGTCCCACTTTATTATGCATTCCAAATTTTCAAAGTGAGTGCCAGGTAAAACACAAAAACAACCAACTGAGGGAACTATACAATTGCAAGTGCTACTTGAGCCCTGAAAAGGGTCTCGGGAAGTTTCCACGGCAGCTGCTGCTCTGTCCCCCTGCTCGCCTGAGCGCCCCCAGGTAAGAACCAGTGACACACATCCAGCTTTCTTTTCTGAGCCAGCAGAGCACTCTGGTGGGCGCCCAGCTGTGTGCCGGTGGATGAACCCTTCTGGGCAAGGCTTTTGTATTTGTGCCCACCTTTCTAATGCCAGCAGTGGACTCTTTCAGCCACCAAACTGGAGGCTCACTGGCGTAGAGCCCTGGCTCGCAAGGAAGTCAAAAGGAGAAAGTGGGCCGTGCAGATAATAAGAAGGTAAGTTCTCCCTACGACAGGGAGAAGAGGTCAGTAGACACCACTTGAGTTTTGTGATGCTGGGATTTGTGCAGAAAGGAGATCATCCCTTCAGGATGGTCCTGGGAATGCAGTTTCATCTCCTGATTCTGATGGTGACCATAGTTCAGTACATTAAAGTCAAATGCTTCCTGAACCCAGGCTGGTTAAAGTGAGGCAGTCTCAGCTGGGCCGGGTGGCTCACATCTGTAAAACAATTATACACTTATAGCACTCAGCAGGCTGAGGCAGGAGGGTCACTGAGTTCAAGGCCAGCCTGGGCTAGAGAGCAAGACCTTGTCTCAAAATGAATGTATGAATGTATGAATGAATGAATGGTGAGTGAGCAAGTCTCAAGAACTAGGAGAAAACAATAGGGTGTGGTGGGGACTGTGACCGACTAGTAAGCTCGGTCGTCCTCCGGTGGGCAGGAACTGTTCTATCTTGATTGACTGCTGCTGTAGAGAAAGGCTAAGCCACAGCTGCCAGATTGCTGGATGTTTCAAGCATGTCTTAAGGAAAGCTAAAACCCAGCTTTTATGTAATACCTTCTAATGTTTTTTTTAAAGAATTGGTAACTAATCAAGCTAGGATTTCTGTTGAACCAGAAAGCAGTATAGGTGAAACCAGGCATGGGGGTGCATGCCTGTCCCCAGCACTTGGGAGGCTGAGGCAGGAGGGTTGCTTGGAGTTACAGGATTGCCAGGGCTACATAGCGAGTTCAGGGCCTGAACTATATAGCAAGACCTTGTCTCAAAAACAAAAACAGAAACAAAAACAAAACAAAAAAAGCAAGCAGCATGGATGAAAGACTACATATCTCTGGGTCAGATTTGACCTTTGGGCTTCATTACTGGCTTCTAGCCTATGTAGTCATTTAAACAACCTCTATTATTTTGGCCTCCGATCAGATGGGAAGAGAATGCACAATTCTGAGGAAATGGGCCAGAAACCTAATGAAACACTTTCCTTTTGAGGTTCATCAACGGATTCATCAATCGCAACAAACCCCTTTCTCCTGACAACGAGGAGTTTCTAGTGTTGGTGCGCAAGAATTACATCTTGAATCTCCGGTACCACGTCCCGAAGAATGTCTTGGACAAGAGCTGGCTGAAGCCTCCTGGCATCTTGCAAACTGTGAGGACTAAACTGAGACTTGGATGTTACATGTGACATGGGCACTAATGGAAGTTTAGCTTTTGTCAGAATTCATCATATTCTTACTAGAATTATAAGGCCAATGGTAGTCTGACTAGAGCAGGTTTGCGTGGTTTCTCTGTGAGCTTTCCCAAAGACTGTTGCAAAGTTTTGCCAAGGATGGCCTGGAGATCCTTGTGTCTGCAATGCAGCTGCAGCTACTGTAAGATTCCTGGGCTCCACCCAACACCCACTGAGCCACAACCTCTAGGGATCGCTTTATTTATAGCCAACTCCTCAGGGGACTCATGGCCATACTCAAGCTTGAGAATCACTTGTTAAGCAATGCCGAAATATTTATAGCCGGATGGGAAGCCTAGCTGCTTTGACTGTAAAATATTAGTGCTGGGTTTTAAAAGTGTCTACCTTGGTTGGTCACCACAGCCCAAGACGGTGTGAGCGAGGTAGGTGGCAAAGAAATGTGTTCTCTACACAGGCTTCGGATCTGCTCAGGAGAATGTGCACAAGGAACCTGGTTCGGAAGTACTGCTGCGGGGTCACAGCCGAGTGGAAAGCCATGGTAGGGAAGTGGAGTCTGTCCTCATCCACCACTCCATGTACAAGCCAAAGGCCGTGTCCATGACTTGTAGATGAACTGAAGATAAACACACAGAATCCTCAATGACTGTCAGCTGATGTTAGTTAGCATCCATGCATGGTTACCATGGGAACTGAAGCCAGATGGGCCCCGCACTAGAAAGAAGGCACAGAAGTTCTGTGGGAGGTCTGGCCTGGTTAATGATTACCTGCAGGTGTTTTCTCTAAAGGCCCATTAGGCTTTATGGGCCATACAATCTGTTAGTATTCAGCTCTGTGCTGCAGCAGGAAAGCAGCTGTAGACATGTAAACAAAAGCCACGGCTGTATCCCAATAAAACTTTACTTAGAGCAGGCAGCAGGCTGCTTTTGGCCCATGGGCTGTACTTTGCTGAACTCTGATCTAGAAGAGAGAAACTATTCTCTGAAGTTCTGAAACCCCCACTTTTAAGCCATTGCAAGCAAGGGGGCCCCCAAAAGCATCAACCTCAGTCTTTACCAGTGTGAGTTTTAGGGCCTTATGGCCAAAGCCAGGAATGTGTTCTTACCCATGCGAAAGTATAACACAGCTCCTGTGGCTCTTCCAGCAAACTAACTGACACAGTGGGTGTAAAGCTCTTCTACCCAAAAGCAAGCCCTGGGGCTACCACTTTTGTACTTTATGCATTACCAGATGCAGCAGAAGGTGGTTACAAGTGAAATATTCAGGGGAAAGAAAGAAGGCTACGGAGAAAGTTTAAATCAGCCCTTTGCGAACACTCGGATAGGTAAGTACATTTTCTATCCATGTACACTGCTTCCCAGGAAGGCAAGATGCTCAGCTCTGTAGCATTTCTTGGCAGCTGTTTCCCCAGCTGAGACCTCAGCATGGAGGAACACAAAGCCAGTAGACAGCAGCACCTTCTCCAGCGTTGGTATTTAGCGATGATTCACGGTGTTCTGGTTCCCTCCCCAGATGAAGGAGACATTAATCCCAAAGTGTTCCAAGTAATGAGCAATGAGAAAATCCAGGTAAGGAAATGTGTGGCCTCAGGCCTGAGCAGGATTCCCTGTCACGCCAGAGAGCCGGGTGTTTTAGGCATAGTGCTAGGAGCACCACTGAGACATGGTGTAGCTGGGTGGGCCGGGCCGGGTGTTCAACTGCTGCTCTGGGTGTTAGCACAGACTATGGGGTGACACATGACAACCAGGTATCTGTTGAATTTTCTTACAGTCTTTCCCTGTCATCCTAAAAGCTGTCTCGCTTCACTTTCCTATGAAATGCAGACATGTAGCCAGGAACTTAATCATGAAGTGAGGGGTGGGTGGACTTCCATGTGCGGACGCTGCCTTCTCTGTGGAGTGGCTGGGAGATCCTGGGCAGGTTACTTCCGCCGTTGGCACCCCTGATCGTCAGTGGTTGTAGATAACGGGAGCACTGAGGGGGCAGGCGAGGCAAGGCAGGTGAAGTGCTTAGGCCATGGCCTGGCCTACAAGCAGCCACGAGCTGGCCTTTGCCGTGCGTGGAGTGGCCGCTCTCACCCTTTGTTCCCTGGAGGACAGAAGCCTGTGTGACTGGAGGGGATCCTGCTCTGGCTGTGAGGGTCCTCACACCCAGGGTATCTTCCTCTCCGCTGGCCTCTCAGACCACACTGTGAGGCTGGGGGCCACAGCCTCGGCCTCCTCAGAGGGAAGAACAGTCAGGCCGAGCTGGGAATCACAGTCTCCCGTGCAGAGAACAGGGCACAGGGTAAAAAAAAACATCTCCTCATGCAAAATCTGTCTGGTCTCTCTGACCACCTGAAATACCTGCACCAGACTCCAGTGACGAGATACTCGGTACTCTGTCCCTCATCCCATGAGGTAACTGTCCCCTGCAGTAACGCTCACCTCCTTGCAGTATGGTGTCCCAGTCATCAAGTATGACAGGAAAGGCTTCAAGGCACGGCAGCGGCAGCTCATCCTCACTCAGAAAGCAGCTTACGTGGTGGAACATGCCAAAATCAAGCAGAAGATCGAGTACTCAGCCCTCAAAGGTAAGCAGTGGGCAACCATGAGCCATTTCCAGGCTGACTCAAGTCCTGGGAACACAAGTAATTCAGAAACTCGCAAATGGGACACACAAGGGAAGGGTGCCTGGAAGGCCCAGGCCCCGGCCTGGTCTGTGCCTCTTATTCCGGCATAAATATCCACAGCACACACTTCATTCAACTCTCCAGTCTGGACAAAGGTCACCTTCCACAATGGGTTCTGATTCAGCTCACAGCCCAACAGCAGGATTTCTGGAGTATGCGCTCTACCCTTTGGGCCCAGCTAGGAGGAAGCAGGCATGGGTTTGGGGGACCCCTGGGTGGTCTCTCTCCTGTTTTCTGGGTTAATGTCAAGCTGCCCACTTCTGGGCCCCTAACTCTGGATCTGTCTTAAGGTATCTCCACTAGCAGTCTGAGTGATGGAATCTTGGTCATTCACGTCTCACCAGAGAACAACAAGCAAAAGGTACCTGATGGCCAACAATCTTCGCTACAGGAAAAAAGTGCCAAATCTTAAATCAAGTACCACAAAACCTCAGGATTAGAGCTATTCGTTTTCCTACCCATTAATACTGAAACCACCGTGTCCTCCTTCTGCCTAGGGGGATGCCATCCTCCTGTGTGAACATGTATTTGAGGTGGTTACTAAGCTCGCCATGCTGGTGAAGAAGGAGAACCTTGTAAATGTTGTTCAAGGAAGGTAGGTGGCATCATCTTCTGTGGGGAAGGAAACTCAGTTGTAAGACGGTAACCAACAGATCAGAGACACACACACGCCAATCGTTCCACCCCATACCCGCCTCCTGGCCTCAAAGCAGGGTGTGGGGAGGAAGGCTCCACGGTGTCCTCTGGCCCTGCCTACAAAAAAAACTTTTCCTGTCGCCACCCCTCTGACTTAGTCTAGTGATCACTCACTGACCTCAGGAAGCAATGGTCTTCCCGTGCAGTTTCCAACACAGGTGCTTACGCTCTTGAGGGACAAAGTCACTACATGAAGGGTAGACCTCTGACCTGGAGCAGGACACAGCCACGCCTCTGCTGTGACAGCTGGTGGCACAGCCGTTTACATCCCTGGGCTGCAGCTTCACAGGCTGTCCATGGACTATCAGGGAAAGTGCTCTGTTGCTTTAGTGTGTAAAAGAAAAGTTCCTTGCGCATAGAGTAGTACCCTTACTTAATTTTCTCAATACCTCTGGAGCAGCTGCCACTTTCTCTCTTTTGGGTGATGCACATGGACCCCATGTTAACCAGCACTTGGGGAGGCACACAGGTGGCCAGTGAGGGTGTGCAGACGCCTAAGGGCCATTAGCAACTTCAGCGCTGTGCTTGCACCGTGTCTGTAGCACAATGCCTGTAAAAGGAAGCTGCTCTTAGCAAGGACTTTACTTTTCTCTGCTCCAAAAGTCTACAATTGATAAGCAAATTCTTAGGTAGGACAATAGAGAGCCGAGTATTTTAAAAAGAATTCTGTTTTGCTGTACCTGGAGGGAACACCTAGGCCACTGTAAGAGTTCCAGCATGAGGATGGGTACCTCACTCCTCAGATGTCAGTCTGGCCCTTTGAAAACTTTAATGCGACAAACTGACTTGAGAATAACTGCAGAAGTGTGTAAGTTGCCCACTTATGAAAATGGTTTCCTTCTTTGGACTGCTTAAATATGCAATAAAATAGGAATTCAGTCTTGAAACTGGTAGTTTCATAAGTACGTTTCTTTTGCAGACCAAAGGTTGGAAGAAAACAGAGCATATCAGTAATTTGCTACTTGTGTATTTTAAGTTTACAGTTTTCCATCGGCCCTGGGAAAGAAGGCACAATAGTTTTTGATACTGGACCAGAAGAACAAATCTATAAAGACAAAAATGGGCAGCTAACAGTGGTAAATGGCTGGCTTCGGGGGACAGGTAAGCAGTTTTAGATGAAAATACAGGTTTAAAAAGTGAGTTTGTCTTCCCCTCCGTTCCTGATTTCACATCTGAAACACATGAAGAGACTGATTTGGGAAACACAGATTTAAACACCAAATAAGGGAAAACCATTTACCATATTTAATTGTCAGGGAAGCAGACGTTGACACTAAATACTTATCAATCTTACAAGTCCAACTTTTCCCTGGGTGACAAAGGGTTCTCAAACTTGCCTCCACGTTGAAATCCACGTGCTTGAGTTTACCTTAGATACTGTAATCTTCCTGACTAGTGGTGTGGCCTAGGCTTTAGAATTTGAGATCACAGATCTAAAGGACACAGAGATTTGGGAACCGAGGCCATCTCATGAGGAGCCTGAGCACACAGGTGACTTGGTCCTCCTGGACTGTGCCCTCATATTGGGCTGAGGGTCCCAATAGTCCTCACTGACAAACAGTACACGAAGTGCTTTGATCCCGTGTGCCCGGGAAGTGACATGTTCAAAGCACAGGGGGGTAGAATGTTTAAAATGTATATTCTATTTATACCAAGAATTATTTGATACAAATTAAAAATGAAACATCTCCTGCGTTATTTAAATGTTTACATATTTATTTGTAAAACTTTTTATGGACGTAAATATAAGTGTCTTTCACAACCTAGTGGGGTCCCTTTCAGGGAGTTAAAGGAAGGATCACTGGGGTATAAGCCATGAGGTGGGCTTTCAGTCCATATGCTATGCTTCCTTAAAACTCTCACCCAGGAGATATGACACTCTCTTTCAGTCTGTCTTCCTCTTTGGCTGGTTCAGCTAAAGATGCTGGCAAACCTCAGTGAGCTAGCTGCTTTCTAAATCCGGCCTGTCTCGCAAGAGCGGGAGCTCGTTTCTCAGCTCATCCGCCCACTTGGCCAGGCTGATCTGAGGTGGCAACGGCTTCCTTCCCAGTCGGGGGAGCTGCGAGGCTCTGAAGTAAAGTGTGGCTCTCTCCCAGGTGTCGGTGCGGAGGAAGTCTTGATGCTGGACCACATCTGATTTCTACCAATCCTGTTTTTGCTACAATTGCGGAAAGCACTGGAGAAGCAGGAATTTGACCCAGTTAGCTATGTCTGCAAGAAAAAAAGCCAGTGGCTCCTGGGACAGCATCACATCTGAAGACATAGAGCATCATGCTCTGCCAAAGCCTGACCCCAGTTCTCAGCTGCAGGTGGCACTGTATTAAAATGTCTTCTTCTGGAAGCTGACCTCAAGTTGCCCAATGGGGTCCTTTTAAACATCACAGAGAGGACCTCTACTTGATGGGCACTGCGACATGGCACTGTCGGGTGTGCAGCAGATGTTCTTCCTTTGTCAAGCTGCCCTGAGACACAATGAAATATGACATATGATCTCAGAGGAAGTAAATGATATCTCTCATAAAGCTGCACAATTTGGATGTTTCTTTAAATAAACGGAACTTACAAGTTTCAAGGAACTGGCGTACGTTTTTCTCTGGGCTCATCAGGCGCCAGGTGGTGAGTGGAGTTCCCCAGCCCCCCATATTAAATCAGTGGCAACACCAGCTGACTCATTCTGCTTTCTTAGAAGGCAGGCAGCATCTTCACCTGAGACTTCCTTTTGGTGTTAAATTCAAACACTACAGCAAAATGACTCATCTTGCTGTTATCAGCCACTCTGCTGTTGGGGGCATTTCAGAAAAGACCCAGAAAACAGATTTAACTGGAAGCATGGCGTAATTTTTATTTCACGTATGTTCACAAATGCTTGTACAACAGAGAAACAGTGACTACTCTTAAAACTTACAGCATTTTCTTCATAGCACAGAGAGACAGAAAGGTCAATGAAGTGCCTGAATGTGTTACAGTGACTTGGGATGAAGCCCTAAAGATAACAAGGGGAGGGGGTGGCACACATAGGTCCTGAACAGCAACTGTGAGGTCTAGGCGAACACACCTACACAGGGACTGGGGGACGTGCAGAGGTCAACCAGTGCACCCACGGTCAGAAGGCAGCGGAGGAGGACGCGCAGGAACTGTTTCGGACCCCCAGCCACCATCACTAGATGACTTGTTCAAAACAAAGACTGAGCTTGATTAGCATGGAGCAAAAGCTCCAATTTTTAACTGTAAGCTCTTATAGTGAAATAAAAACTTACTCTTCAGCAAATCCTATGCCAATGTTTACTTAGATGGTTCATAAATAAAAATATTGACTTTTGCCCTTAGTGCTAACATCAGAAAAGTCAGTTCCTTTCTTACAGAGTCTACTTGGTAGCAGAGCTTGGACCAGCCAACACTTGTCTGTCAGCTCCTGGCTAGATGCAGCTGACAGAATCATTCACCATGGAATGTTTTACAAACCTATTCATATCCCTGTGAGGCAGAGATGCAAATCTGCAGATGCAAAGTTGAAGGAAAGTGAAGGTACCAAGAGCTGCCAGAAACAGCAGGTCGTAAGGCATACATACATGAAAGCCAAAACAAGTCAGATTGTTTCACAAACTTACTCACACAAACGCTTAGAAAGCAAATTTGTACAATGGCTTTTCCATTCCTACAGAAAACATCAGAACTGACATTCACTTTAACTTTAAAAAAGTTTAACCCCAACAGTAGGGTTGACGTTTAAAACTTAAACAGTATAAAATATTTACGAAACATTATTTTGTAAGCTCCCTTTCCTTAGCGCTTAATAAAACCCAAGTAGCCTCATATAAAAGTTTCCCACACAACAGTTTAAAAAGCATCTACCCAATACCTCATTTTTAGGTTCGGTCTTGATTGTTTTAAAGTTTTAAATACTGTAAGCTTTGCTGCTGGATACAAAAGAAAGGCAGACAACTGTCACAGGTACAAAGTCTAAGCTGTAAAAACCGTTGCAAAATAGAAACTCGTTTTTTGGATACAGGTGTCAAAGGCTGCCCATGTTAATACCTTTGGTATAAAACAGTAATGATTCCTTGCTAAGCAAACAAAACCCATCCATTACCTGACACATATTCACATCTCCTTGTAACTACTCTACCTAGTCTAGTCTCAACCACCCACATCAGTCATGATTCATTTCTGCTCCTGTGCAGGTGCAGAGGAGGCTGGGAGGTAGGTAACTGAGAACATCTGTCCTATGAGCACCATGCACAGCAGGCTCCTGCTCGGGCCACCTGTGCCCCACAGACACACGTCCTCACCAACAGTCGCACACATTCTCTAAACAAGTACGAACAAGGACACAAACCAGACCCAAAGGTATCTGTACATCCTCTGAACCTGTTCGCTGATGGCCACTCTATTCTGCATAGGAAGGCAGAGACAAAGATGAGAAGGGATCTCCAGGTGACCGCTGTGCTAAAGGAGGGAAGTGGCCTGAGACAGGCAAGCTCCTTGGGCTGGCGGTGTGAGGAGTGCCTAGCTGAGAGGACAGGGTCTGGGGCCACACTGAATTCCTGACCAAAGGGAAAGGCACCCAACTTGCTGAAGCTAGCCCAGGTTAATGGGGAAGAAGGCCCGGGAGAAAGGAGTGGATGCTCTGGAGCAGCAGTGTGCAAGTTTCAGCTGCTGCAGGGCCAGATGGCCTTCCTGGAATGGAGTGGATCAACAAGGACAGCAAGTGGAAGGGGCAGGACATGGAAAGAGCACTGGGCACTCACTGCCAGGGAAAGCTCTACTCCTTGCCAGGCATGGTACAGTCCCAGCAAGCACAGACCAAAGATGAGCCAAGGCAGCGAAAGTTTTACACCCACAGATGTACTAAAACACGTCAGAAGCAATGACGCTCGTTAGGTCACTTTCACAGCCACAAGCTGAAACGATCAGTAAGCTCTAGGGACAGAATGATGCTGCAGAACGGATTCCCAGGAAAGCCATGGAGACTATGCTCAGTCAGAAGGCACAGGAACCAGGAGCCAGTCTGCTGAGGCTAGAGGGTTCGGAGAGACATAGCTCACAGACACTTCTGGTGGCCGCCACCTGCAGAGCCGCTCTCGGAATTGGCAAACTGAAACCTTAAGGGAGTGTCACTCAGAAGCCCAACAGGTCGTCAGCACCCACAAAAATAAATACTGCAAACAAAGTTCTCACATACACTTCACGCTCACTCATACTTTTCCTCTGCGAACCAAGAAAGCCTGGCTCCAGATTCTCACGCAAAGTAAAGACCTTGGACACCGCCTGTTCAACTATGGGGGTGCATACACCTGGGTCAAGGCAGGAGCAATTCCCCTTGTGGAGAAATACCAAAATAACCATCTGGCTTGTTACAAAAGTATCTCCAGACCCCCCTGGGAAGTAGAAGGTGCCCGGAAGCCTGCACAGAATCTGAGTGTGGCAGGGTTGGGGAGAAGGGCGGAGGGCGGAGGGCAGAGGAAGGCGGCTGGGTCCACCGGCCTGCTCACTGGTGGAGGTGGGTCCGGTCGTCAGGACGCTTGATGTGGATCCGCCGCACGCGCTCGATCCTCTCTCGCTCCCGCTCCTCATCCTCATCCAGGTGATGGGAGCGCCCAGCTGCACCACCTGTGGCCTCCAGGAGCGCATTGTCAGGTCCCCGGCCATCCTGGGCCTCATACAGCAAAATATTCAGGGTCTCCTCATAAATTCGGGCTTCAGGGAACTCAACCTGTGTCCCCACAAAATAGAGGGGAAACGTGTTAGTATGATACACACACAGCCCACCACCTCAGCCATGACCTGTACTCCTGAGCCGGGCCATCGGGCCAAGGAGGGCCCCAGGATGCTAATGAAAACTGTCACTATTATTTTTAAAGCAACTGTTGTTTTCAGCAGACAACATTTATACACAGTGCTAAATTCGCCTAAGCCCAAGGGAACACAGTGAAATTAGTTCCTTCACCCTCCCTACCCGCAGCTGTCCCTTCAAGAAGGCAGTGCTGCTCCTCTCCTCACCTTGTCTCAGAGATTCCATATACACATATACACAGTCATGCGCATTCAAAAACAAAAAGGAGGCTGCCAGAGTCTCCTGCCCCTTCCTCTTGTCCCTAACTTTTAACTACACATCAGGGAACTTACGTTTTTGTTGGTTTGTTTGTTTGTTTGTTTTTGTTTTTTTCCGGTACCAGGAATCGAACTCAGGACCTCTCCCTTGCCAGGCAGGCACTGTGCCACTGAGCTAAATCCCCAGCCCCCATAAGTCTCATTTTAATGTCACTACCTTGAGAACTAGTTAGGTTTTTTTTTTGATACCGGGAATCAAACTCAGAACCTTGCGCTTGCCAGGCAGGCGCTTATGCTGCTGAGCTATATCCCCAGCCCAATCAGGGAACTTATGAAGAATACGACAACGCAATCAAGTAGTTCATTCTGATGAACACTCAGGTCACCTCCAACGTGTTGAAGATGGCTTGAAAACAGCTTTGTCTGGACCAGCACCTCCCTCCTGCCTGGCAAAGTGCTCTGCCCACCACCACGGAGCTAAGGGTCCCCGAAAGGAGGAGGGCCACGCAAGTGGGTCCCCGGCACTAGACTCACACACTAGACCTGGTCTGAAGGACAGGATTCCAAGGTTTGGGAGCAACAGAGTAAGCACACTCCATTTTTTCTTTCTCACTGACGCTACCCAAGCGGGTGAGGATGCACCAGCAGCCAAGTGAGGACTCCGAGAGCAAGCCGCCCAGCGGGGCTGGGAAAGAGCAGCACTGGAGGTGATCCCAACCAGCAGTGCACGCTCCAGCTTTCCCCTGCTGCCCCATCAATGCAGGCTGAACCCCAATACGGGCCCCACAACAGAGCGCCCCAGGTCTCTGGTGACCAGAGGAGCCAACAGAGCCTAACACACAGAGTGGGAAGAAATAGGGGGAAGTTTCCCATTCTTCTGCCCTCTGTTCTTTCCTCTAAGGACCCTAGTGGCAACAACCAGAGACTGCAGGAGTCAGAACTTTGTGGTGCTGGGGATAAACCCAAGGCCACACCCATGCAAGGCAGCTCTCTGCTACTGAGCCGCACTCCCAGTCAGGGGACTTTCTTTTCTGCTGAGAAGGGCTCTGGTCTCAGGGTCAGGAGGGAGCCAGGCAGGCTGGTACACGCCTATAGTCCTAGTATTCAGGAGGCTGAGGCAAGAGGACTGCCTCGAGTTCAAGGCCAGCCTGGGTTACCTAGTGAGTGCAAGACCAGCTTAAACTCTACATCTGAGACCTTGTCTCAAAAAAAAAAAAAAAAAAAATCAAGGTCAAAGGGAATCCCTGCTGCTTTTTTCCTCAGCCTTCATGCTGACTGCCCTCAGATACAAGCTCAGTCATGAAGAGTGGATAACAAAAGCCCCAGCATCAAAAGCTCCAGCTCAGTCCTGAGAAGTGGGTAACAAAAGACCCAGGCATGTGCCACCCTGCCTGGCTCCCTCCTGATCCTGAAAGAGGGAGGGCCAGAGAAGCTCGGAGTATAGATGAGACTGTAAAGGGAAACGCAAGGAAGCAGGCTCTAAAGTTGTGCACGGAGAACGGGACTCATGCAGCTGCGCGGCTCCGCCCTAACCAGCACACACTGACAGAAGAGCTGATCAATGGGACTGGCCAGAGGCGGGCACACAGGCGGGGCGGATCTGAAGGCTTTGAAAACTGAGCTGTCCCTGGAATGATGACCACTGGAAGGGGGCTAGAACTTGCAGCCTGAATCCAACTCTGTCAACTACCTTCCAAAACAAGAACACCAACCAGTTCACCCTAGGAACTAAACAGGACCCCAAGTCCCATGTGACATCCAAAATGCTCAGGACACAATTGGAAATTACTTGGCACATGAAGAACCAGAAAAATCTCAGTTCCTGTGGGAAAAGATAGTCAACAAGGGGCTGGGGATTTAGCTCAGTGGCAAAGCGCCTGCCTGGCAAGTGCAAGGTCGTGAGTTCGGTTCCTGGTACCAGAGAAAAACAAAAAAAAAAAAATTAAAAAAAAAAAAAAAAGATAGTCAACAAATGCCAGTCCCAAGGAAACAGAAGAGGCTGGACTCCGACAAGGACCTGAAAGCAGCTATTACAAAGGTGTCCCAACAAGAGTAATGCTTCTAAAGCAAACTGAAACACAAGTCTCAGCTAAGAGACAGAGAGTAAAGGAACCAAAGGAAAATTTTAGGACTGAAAAAATACAATAGCCAAAACACAAAAACAAAGCACTTGATTTACTGGAAGAGTTCAGTAAGTTCTTTTTTCTTTTTTTTTTTTTTTTTGGTACTGGGAATGGAAATCAGGACCTCGCGCTTGCCAGGCAGGCGCTTGTGCCGCTGAGCTATAACCCCAGCCCAGGAAAAGTTCAATGAAAAAGTAAAGATGACAGAGAAAAGAGTCACCTGAAGTGAAACAATCTGAATGACAAAAAGACCGATAAAGGGCAGAATACTGGGCTTATTATCTAATCCTCAGTGAAGGGCCGGGGATATAGCTCAGTGGCACAAGTGCCTGCCTGGCAAGCCCAAGGTCCTGAGTTCAATTCTCAGTACCAAAAAAAAGGAATGAACTCAGTGAAACAGACTGAAGAACCAAATGGGCAATCTATATATTAAACATCTGCTTAAACTTTAATTTCAGCAAGTCATGCCCTTTCCAAATTTACCGTGACAGTAAAAGGTGATTTACCATGACAGTAAAAGATGTTTAAAAAAAATTAGTAATACACTTGGAATGCAACACCAAGGAAGATACAATTATGGAAGAAAAAAAAGAAGAAGAAAAAGAAAACAATAGCATACCTGTAACATTAGCTGAAGACAACAAAATCAGAGTGCCAGCCTCAAAGCCCTGCTCCCAGAGGTCTGGGCCAGCTGAAGGAAGACCCTGTTTTATACAAGCAGTCATCCCTAAACCAGTACCCTAGAAGCCAACGTCACAGGCTTTCCCTGGAGGAAGAAGAAGTCCCTACAGATGCACTGCATGGTAAAAGGAGCCAAAACATGGTCCTGGCCTCCCATCCTCATCCTGCCATTAGCCAGCTTGACACACACAAGTACAGGCTCACTCCAGAAGCCATGTGGTTATCTGTGATCAGCTGGGATCGAACTGTGTGGCCTCTACATTCTTTTGCTCCCTATTAAGTTCTGAAAGTGAGAAGTCTTACACTTAAGCTATATGGATAAAGGATAAAGTTCATCCTTTTAAATTATAAGGTATATTTTTGAAAATAAAATTATAAAAAAAATGGAAGTCTAGTTACAGAATGAATTCACACCTTAAAAAAGTTCACAGGAGAGAAGCAAAGCATGAGAGCTTGCCAGTGTGGTGAGGAGAACAGGCATTTCCCATCCCTCTGCCACCTTCCGGAGAACTGAACCTCAGTACAGTGGGACCACAGTTCACAAAAACTCTTGTTTGCAGACAATTTGGTTCACAAACAGAAGCGTTTAGCAAAACTTGGTTTTGGTTCACAAACTCTGCATTGGGTGATAAACACAAACATGGCCATCTTTTCCAGAGCTGTGGAACAAATTAAGTTCGTGACCCAAGATATCACTGTATTTCTCCCTTTTTGGCTACCTTAAAAACAATTTCTTTTAGGATATATTCTGAATATGGTAATTACAAATAAAATTGGTGGTCAAATTAATCCTGTGTTTGGGAGAGGGTAGCTACAGATGGAGCACACAGCCACTATGAGCTAATGGCCACTGAAACTGGGTGAAGGGTACATGGGAGATCCCTGTACACGTCTACTTCTGTGTATAATTTGAAATTCCTATAATGTTTAAAAAGGAAAAAAAAGGCTTCTGCTTTCCACTTTGTGATATGATTTTCTCTTTTGCATTCTGTCTAAGGCCAGCTCCAAAAGCCCACAGACCTATGTCCCTCCTAAAGCTGCAGGGTCAAAAGCAGTAACCTGAACAAATGAGTGACAGACTGTACACAGCTGACCAGGAGCACGACAATCAGCCTGTGGCCGACCTACCATATCCCATAGGTAATCAGATTTCCCTCAGACAGGGTGAGAAAGAAATGACAGCATCTAGTATGATTAAAGGCAGGGGTGGTGGAGGAGGAGGAGGAAGGGAAGGAGGGAGCAGAAGGAAGGGAGAGATGGAAGGAAGAAGATGAGGAGGAAGAGGGAGGGAGAAAGGGAAGAAGAAGGAAGAAAGGCGAAGGGGAGGGAGAGAGAAGAGAGGGAAAAGGGAGAAACCAAGACAGCCAGCTCGTTCACACAGCCCAAGGGGGACAGGCAAACAGAACGCCAGGGAGAGGGAAGTATGGCAGGCCTTGTCTCTAGCCATACTTTGCCATGTGGTCCAGCTTTCAGAAGGACTTGGTGGTGGAAGTCAAGGGAAAGGTCAGGCCTGTTGATTTGGAGAAGATGATATAAAGATGGATGCACAGTCAGTTTGAGCATGGAGTCAAGTGTGTTCAGAAAGAAGCCAACCAAGGTGGCAGCTAAGGAATTGCACATTTGGGCCCTATGAGGCGGTGGGCAGCTCTAGGTCAGTGGGCAAGAGAAGGACACACCAATGGCAAATAAATGGTAGGATGTGACCAGAAAGCCACGTCAAGATCTTGAAGGTAGCACTGTTGCTCTGACGAGCGAAACTTGGTGGAGGCTGGGCCTCAGTGGGAAACAACTGCAGTGGAGGAGCATGAGACATTAGAGGTATCAGAGGGCGTCAGGCGGAGAAAATGCTGGCAGCCAGGTTCGCCTGGGTACAAGGTCAAACCTGAATCCATACACATGACAAGGGAACTACAGTACAGCATGACTGTCTCTACTTGCTCAATGGGATGTTTCTCTAGGACCAACATTTAGATCTTTTCAAGGCCCCAAAGATAATAATTAGTTCATAATGAGGAAACACAAGGCAAGGAAAACATCGAAAACCTTTCCCTCTTTACGTCTAACTTGCTGACGTGGAAAGAAGTCCCATAAACACCTACTTCAGAGCAGCCACTCAGAACTGTTCTCTCCAGGCTCCTACCTTCGTCTGCTTCTTCTCGGTGGCGTAGACAATGGAGGTGCAACATACTTCAGCAATCTTGCGGCCCTGACCATAGAAAGACCAGCAGCAGATTTCATCCCCGATGACATCCTTTATGAATAGGATCCTCCCATTAAAGCGCAGAGACAGCTTATCAAACAGTTCGATGTTTTTCAACATATTGTCGTCGGAATTGCTGCAAAAGGAGCATTCAATAAGGTGACCGCAGACTGGTAATAACTGAACTATTTCTACACACAGGATCCTGCTAGGCTTATTTTCTTCTCTCTCTCATTTCACTCACAACAGTTCCACAAAAAGATGCTATACTCCCCACTGCTCAAAGAAGGAAATTAAGGTCAGGGAAATTAGGCAACTGTTCAGGGCCAAAACCAATAAACAGCAGAGCTGGGCCTGAGAAAAGACAGCTCTGGTCCCTAAGCTCATGCTCCTGACCAGCTGCTCAAGTGCCTGCCCTGCACAGCCACAGAGAGACTGCTGAAGATGCCACGCCCCCAGGCACAGGCGACAGGGGAGGGCCAGCATCCCACCAAGTACTGTGGGGACACAATGGCGGTACCCAAGGGAGACTTTTAATCTAGGGCAGTTTACAGGTCCTCAATGACATCATTAAATTCCCCCCACACCCCCCAAGTTTCTGCTTTAGAGTGGCATGTTCCCAAGAGAGCCAAAAGGCATTTTAGAAACATAAATAGATTGTTGGTGATATTGTAAAATGGTGCGATAACTCTGAAGAAAACCTAAGTGATTATATGACCCAGCAATTCCATTCCCAGGTATCCACCCAACAGAAATTAAAACACATGTCCATAAAGAACTTACAAATGTTCAAAGCAGCATTATACACTACAGCCAAAAAGCAGAACTAACCAAATGTCCATCAGTTTAAGGATGAATAAACAAAATGTGACCTAACCATAAAATGGAAACCATTACACCATAAAAAGGAATGAAGTATTGATGCATGTTCAACATGGAGAAACCTTGAAAACACTCTGCTAAGTGAGGGAAACCAGCCACAAAAGGAAACATGTTGTATGATTCCATTTATATGAACTGTCCACAATAGGCAAATCTATAGAGATAGAAAACAGATTGAGGATTGCCTAAGGTTTTTGGGGGAAGTGCTTGGGCAGGGACTGCTAATGGGCAGAGGATTTCTTTTTAGGAGGATGAAAATGTGAAGTTAGAAAGTGTTAGTTGTACAACTTTGTGAATATAGTAAAAACCATTAAACTGTGTGCTTTTAAGAGATGACTTTTATGGCATGTGTATATTAAACGTCAAAGTTATATCTATCTACCCACTCTGGAGGTACAGAAGGATCATTCTCATACGAAGGGAACACAAGGAGCTCAACCTGGCTGGTGCAAGTGGAGGTTTCCTAGTGAGTGCAGATGTCTTTTCTGGCTGGTATCTTACCTGGTGTATGAGTATTTGTTGTTACTTCTGTTGTAGAGCAACTTCACAGCTGGCTGTGGATTGTTTTAAAAAGAGGAAGAAGAGAGTTACTTAGCATGTAGGTCCAATGAGCTACAGGCTTCCCAAATGGCTGGGGCCCGGCCAGACAAACACAGCTTGCTGGCAGGAGAAGGAAACTCCATGACCCAATGGCAGGGGCAGCTTCCCATTCTCACTCCATGCTCAGAAAGTCCCACAAGGGTGTCTCCAACATACCTTATTTGAAGTCGCTATGAGTTTCTGTTCTTCCTTGGATGAGGTGATGACAGGAACCTTGCAGAAAGGCTCGTAAGTGTCTTTGTTCTGCTGGAACAAAACATGCTTTCAGTCTAGGAGGTTCGCCTAGCATTGAATTTTTAAGACAGGCCTGCTAGGCAGAGACAGGCTCTGGTGAGGAGAGATAGGTCAGTCAGAGGTGAGAGAGGAGGATTCTTACCACGGATAAATCAAGAAAGGGGAAGCCCTAGGAGTGGAGTTTTCCAATAGGCGTTCTCTTTGGCCAGGGCTGTTACATGCCAGGATGCCCAGTAAATACTAACAACGACACATTTTCCACAGCTCTGCAAACTAAACCTTCAATGTGGCAGATGAAACATTATTTAATCAAAAGCTCCTGCAACCCCACTATAACGACTACACAGGAACAAAAAAGGAGGAAAAGAATGGGAGGGGTGAGCTCAGCAGGCAAAAGATGTCAAAACTTCAAGGGTGAAAAGCAGACCACAGATGAGTGATGACGAAGGAGATGGAAAGATTCAAAACTGCAGCTGGCAGATGGAACAGACCTAGAGAGGCCTCAGAGAACAGCTGTGAAGCCTGGTAGGCGGAAGGCAAGAGCAGGGCGATGCTTGCCAGGCAGCAGAAGCATCAGAAAAGCCCTACATTCGCCCCTGCCCAGCAGAAAGGTCCACTTTCCTGGAGCAGTTTGCACAGCAGAGGACAGGGCTGAGTTACCATTCTACTCAGATTCTCTAAGGCAGCCGGCCCCACCAGACAGGAAGGAGGGGAGGACTTCCCTACAGGTAATAATAACCTGCCCAAGAGAGGGCTTACAGATGCTGACATTTGGGGTCCCCTTCATAGAAGTCAGCCCATTCTCCAACCATGAAGGCCACTGGACAACAAGTACTGCCACACACACAAATTTTGAGTCTCACTCTTAAGCTTTAACAGAGGCAGGGGATCATAAATTATGCATGGGAACCTTCTCAAACATGAGACCAAAGCCAACACAAATGGCAAAAAAAAAAAAAAAAAGGAAGAGAACCAGCCAGACAATTAAGGAAGCAGAAAGAAAACTTCAAATAGTATCAGACAGATGAGAGCAGACGCAGCATCCTCTGAAACAAGGTCACACGTTATGAATAACAGCTTTCAGAGAACAAGAGAAAGCTCCTGGAAAGTAGAAATTTGATAGCAGAAATGAAAAATTCATCAGAAGAATTAAAAAGATAAAATTGAAAAAAAACCCACTTCTGAAAGTAAAACAGAAATATCAAGCAAGACACTGGGAGCAAAGAGAATGAGATCAGTCCTGGAGGCTGAACCTCAGATGTTCAAACATGGACCCAGGGGCATGACTCCAGGACAAGGACGAGAGATGCTCTCTGACGTGTCTGGACAGTCCAGTGTGAGGCTGACCTTTCTCCGGACCATGTGGGGCTGAGTCAGGGGTATACACTTGTAAAGTATGCAAACAAAATACCCTGTGGTTCAAATGAAAAGGACTTACACTTCTAAATTCTAAATAAAAATTTAACTAGAATTATGATAACCTATGCTGGGAGAATGAATATGTAAGTGTAAGCCTGGGGTTTGTAGGTATATGCTAAATTCTAATTTTCCATAGTAATGCCAGTAGATAACACTGAAAAGTAAAAATCAGTGAAAAGCAGTATAAGGAAGCTATATGGAAATATGAAAGTAAAAACAAGGGACTGAGGATTTAGCTCAGTGGCACAGCGCCTGCCTGGCAAGTGCAAGGTCGTGAGTTCAACTCCCGGTACCGGAAAAAAACAAAAAACAAAAAACAAACAAAAAAAAAGAAAGTAAAAACAGAAGAAACTGCTAAAAGAGAGGCTTCTTGCGGGTGAAGGTGGCTGGGAAAAGGTGTCGTAATGTTTCTTACCTTAATCGTGCAGTACTGTTTGACTTCCTAATGATATACATGCATTACTTTAATAATCATAAAAATGACGTAGCAATGCAAATGCTGCAACATTCAGTTAGCTTTATAATAGTTCACATCTGTCAAGACAGAGGTGCTATGTGGCAAGAACAGTTCGTCAGGAGCTTGGCATTGTGCGTATTTATCCAAGGGAGGGCCAGACCTGCCATGTGGCTCAGGAAAGGTACAAATACGAGCCTCGTGTATAGAAATCATGGTCCTACAGTAGCCCAAAGGGACTCTTCTGCTTCTCTACCATGTTAGCACACTGCTTCAAAGATAAGGCTGTTGGCTGCATCGAGAAGCATGTACTTTGTGGGATCTGACTATCACTAGACCTGACCCCAGTCCAGCTTCGGAGGGAGGGGCATCTGTCTGTAGAGAAGATTCTGGGCTCCCAACACTGACTAATAGGGCCACAGTTAAGTCCCAAAATAGATCCAGAAAATGGATTTAGTTTTAACACTCCACGATTCACTACTGGAAGGCTGCACTGTGTGCATGAGATGACCCAATGCCACGGGGACTAACAGAGAGCAGTGAGGTGACCTGTGCATACAGGAAGCATCTTAGGGGTCTCGCTGACCGAAATAGAGAGGCTGCAGAGTTCCCTCTCACACATCCCAAGGAGGTAGGAACTGTTTCCATTTTGCAGAAAGGGAAAATGAGGAAGGCAGGTATGTTTGGTGCCTCCCGCTTATACAGGAAGAAAGGGTGGTGCCTACTTGTAAGGCCGCCTGGCACTCTTCCACCAAGCCCTGGACCAGGTAGTACTTTGCTTCTGCTAGCAGCTCCTCGATCTCCCGGCGGCTCTCAGGCAAGGGGACAGCCCCATCTCGAAGGTAGTTGAGAATCGTACCAAAGTGCTTCCCACACCGGTCAATGAGGATCCAGCCTGCAGTGGGGAGGGAGGGGGACTAGTTACACAGCCACGCTTCTCACTTCTCACGGGAGATGTGCAGCAGAGCTGAGTCTCCTTGCTCCCTTGGTCTCCAGGGAGAGCAGCACAGAGAGCGCTGTAGTCCCACCGGCCTATCCCCAAATGCACTGCCACCACCTACAGGCCTGGTGGTTATACACAGCCCAACCCTAGACTCCTGGGGAACCAGCTCTGTGGGACACCCAGGGCCCCTGAAGCCTAAAAGCACGTTCCTGAAGTACCTTCATATATCCTTTAGAGAATACCATCCCAAAAGGGCCGAGTGCCTGTTCCCTGGATAAAATGGGTCCAAATGACCAATCCCAAAGACAGGAGAAAGGTTTTTGAGGTAAAAACATCTACTCCTCTCCAACACTATGTTCAGACTCTCAAGCAGCAGAGCCCTTCCTAAGGGAGCACAACTTCATCCCCAGACTGTGACCTCTGGTTCCAGAGTATGACCCTATACACTCCCCGGCACCACCACAGGAAGTTCTCTCTATGACTTCTTGCAACAAGCATTCATTGGCTACTGACAGCAACAGGACAGGAAACCGTGCTCTCCACAGACTCTGATGTCAAACAGCTCAGTCAACATGGACGGACAGACCCTGTTTTAAAATATATGGAAAAATGTCCTGACTGCTGATCAGAATCAGGCACAGAAAAATTCTTGCGGGTGCAGCCTGGAACATGATGCCCCTGCTTCCCAGTGTCCTACCCACTTTTGTAACTGGCCTGCTATTTCTCCACTAGGGAGCCTGAGGGTTTTCAAAATTCCTCTCCTGAAATGCAACGTCCCCACTGTACCACTGTAGTATCTGGAGGAGTCAGGACTGGATCCTGGAAAAGAAGGAGGTACTGGAAAGTGACAAAGAAACGAAGCAAAGACCGGTGATGTCTCAACAGACAACGGGAAGCACTACAAGAAGCCAGATGGATGGCTGAGCCTCACTCTTCTCCATTAGCAGGACAACCTCAGGCAGGTCTCCCCGGTCTCCTGTCCCACATCGTGGGGGAGAAAATAGTGCACAGTGCTGCTAGGAAGTTTAAACAGAAACAGGCCCTTTATGTCCCCTCCCCTGCCCTTCTCCCTGCTCCCAATTTGGGAGAAGGGGCCAGCATTTTCACTCCTAAAGCCACTGTGCCCTGCCCTGACTGCCCCTCAGTATGCAGGCCCTGGATCAGAGGCACAGGGCAACAAGAGTGAACAACACCAAGCATACCTTGCGCCCACACCAGGTTGCAAGCCTGCCGCTTCCCCCTGCCCCGCCCCTCCGCCACCACCTCCCATATCCAGCCCCTGCCAAGTGTCCTTTCATGGTCTTACTGCACTATTTGATATTCATTAGCAAGTGATCTACCCATCAGCTCATAGTTATTTCCACTGTCAGCTTCTGAAACTACTCAGCCTTCTGGTGCTGGGCCTTTTGTTTAAGAGTGGTCTCCTCCCTCCAAAGCCTTTCACTTGGTACTCCCACACCACTACACTTCCCCCGGCAGAGCAGGAAGAATGCCAAAGCGGGTGAGCGCAGTGCACGCATGTAGCCTGGAGCCCAACCCTAGTTTTCAGGAAGGAAGAGGCCCTCACAGGCATGGTAACCACACTACACTCACACTGGCCTCCAGATGTTCTCCCACTCTGCTTCTTCCTACATGTCAGACAATAAAATATGGACTTAATCTCTTACACAACTCAGATGCCCACAGAGGTCCGCAGCAGCACAAAAGAGAGCAGCCCGACAGTTGGCTGGAGAGCACGCCCCGCCTCCAGGACGGCACGCCCCGCCTCCAGGATGGCACGCCCCGCCTCCAGGACGGCACGTCCCGCCTCCAGGACGGCACGTCCCGCCTCCAGGACGGCACGCCCCACCTCCAGGACAGCACGCCCCACCTCCAGGACAGCCTCTACAGCTCCAGCCAAGAGTGGCCCGGCATGAATGTGGGCCCAGGGCCGCTAGACTCTGAGGTTCCAAACAATGCCAGAAATCCAGATTTTTCTGTGAATCGCCTGATTTTTAAGGGATGGTAAACTAACTCAAAAAGAAAAAGTCATCAACTTATTACTGAGTAAATAAAATACATGTGCAGGCAGAATCAGGCCTGAAAGCTACCACCTCAGACTCTGTTTCCCTAGAACTACTTCCTCCAAGAAACCGATGAGATGTGGAAAGGTAGTATTATCTTCCCAAATGCTCTTTTCATGGCTCATTCCTTGCATTTCTAGATAAAAACAGTCCCAGAGAGATTCAGTGACATTCCCAAGAGGGACAGGCAGGACCATGCAACAAAGAACAAGTAAGAAACTTGTAGAACTTCAGGCTTGAAAAAGAAATTCAACTCAGCTGCTCAGGGAAGACTCCATCCACATTCAGCTGTTAGGAAAAGGGCGAGAACTCCCAAAATCAATCACCCAAGTGACAGCCCGGAGTTTCCATAAACGAATAGGCAAACAGGCGGACCGTGACACTGGGGTCCAGCTCAAGAATGTCGTCAGGAAATGCCTGTGGCAAAGGAATCATACTTTGTACAAATAAGGGCAAAGGAGCCAGGCACATTCTCAGTGAGTTTTCAATTAACATTCTGACTTTAAAATATTTTGGTTGCTTTCAAAGCAAGAATCTATGCCTTACAGTCATCTCAATTGCCTGCATGAAGAAAAGCAAACAGACACTGTGTTAGTAACTTTTCTCCTTGCTGAAACAAAATACCCAACACCCACAAATTAAGGGAGGAAAGGTTTATTTAGCTCAGTTTGTAGAGGTTTCAGTCTATAACTGGCTGGCACCAAAGCAGGGTGGCTTCAAAGAGAACAGCTGATGGTGGGCAAAAGGCAGCAAAGCAACAAGGACCACAGCTCTTTCTGCCCCTTTTATCTTATGCAGGCTACTGAGGGCGGGTAGCACTCACACCCTCGGTCCTAGTGCCTTGAGCCTGTCATTGTACCACGAATTCAGCCACTTGTGAAACAGCCCCACCTATGACAGCATGAGGCTTTGGGAAGACATCTACATACAAGCCGTAACAGACACCATGCAACTTCCAGATTATGGTGACAGCTGTCCTGCTGTCATGGGCCACGCTAGCAATTTATAAAGGCTGTTGAAGTCCAGGCAGCCTGGGAATGATGACCCATGCAGTGACTGGAAAGCAAGGTGGGCAGGCAGACGGGCAGGCCCTAGACTGGGCTCCAGGATGTCTTGCAGAATGCCACAGTGGTTAAGGGCATGAGTCTATATTGGAAACCCTACTCTGCCATCTACTTAACAGATGGCATCAGTATCTCACTTGAGCTCTCTTGTCTGGAAGTTTATTCTTCTCAAAGAGCTGGCGTAAGAACAGGACGGTAGAATGGACAGAAAGCACATGGCACAGTGCTGGTTGATGGGTGGCACTCAAAATTACCTATAGGTCTTTGACAACGAGCCTATCACATTATTAAGGCTAGAGAACAGAGCAGCAGCATGTGATGGTAGCAAGTTCCAGAATCCAGGAGAGATTCGTATGGCTTTCACATACCAAGGGAGAAGGTTGCTCTGGTAGCCAAGAGCACTACCATGTATTCCTTGTCTCTGGGGACATCTGGCCTCTCCTTTCCCTTCTCTACTCCAGGAGCCTTAACCAACCTCCCCTCACCATACTATTTATACTTCATGGTTTTACGGTTACCTGATTACCTGAGATACTTGGTACAAATTTGGATTCGAGGACCCTGCCTCATTCCTGAGTCCAAAACTGTAGGGCACGATCTCCAGCCTTGGCTCTATTGACATTTTAGACTGGGTAATTCTATTATATGGGGGTAGTCCTGTACACTGTGTTTAGCTGCATTCTTGACCTCTACCCACTCAGTGCCAGCAGCAACTCCACCCCCAAATCATAACCACCAAAGGTATCTCTGGACACTGCCAGATGTCCCCTAAGTCAAAAAAAGAAAAGAAAAGAGAAAAATCCTTGTCTGAGTACCACTGACGTAGATCAAAGACCTACATGTGGGCTGGAGCGTATAGCTCTGTGGTGGGTACTTGTATAGCTGTTCCTTCCCTATGTTCCATCCTTGGCACCACCAAGAACAAGCAAACAAGACCTAAAATAAAACAGTGCAAAATGTTGAGGTATCAAAAGGCCAACACTAGAAAATATGAAGACAAGGCATCTGAAACATAAAACCACAGAGAAATAGTATACAGAGTATGTACTTCCACAAAGCCAGAAGAAAAAAGGACAATGTGTAAATAAAATGCTATCTAGGACATAAAAGACAAAATCCAAACACCACAACCAATAACCATAAAAAAATGCTTACATAGGAAATACAAACTAAAACAACAGGGTATGATATCATAATCACCTGTTTGGCAAGAGTTAAAAGGTTTGACAGTGCCAAGTGTTGGCAAAAATCCAGACCACTGCTAGGAGTGTAAATTGACACAACCACCTGAGAGCAGGCTCTGGCAGTATCTAATGAAGCAGAAGATGCTACCCTGAAGTTGACTTCTGGGACTACAATATAGGACAGAGCTCTCGGGGGTGGGTAAGATCTTTCTGCTACCATCCCTGGGGTGGACAGCTGGGACCTGGGGAATCTGGAGCCTCATTTACCAAAGTAAAAATAGGATCATCTGTGTGTGCCATCATATGGCAAAGGTTGAGAAACAATGCCATAGAAAAAAATTACATGTGCACAAAGAAAATGTTCAAGAATGTTAAGATTCCTACAGTGGAGGCTAGAAACAAACTATATAACTATCAACAGCATAGGGCTTCATCAACTGCAGGCAGTGTCTAGAACTGAACCCTCTATCACAGGGAAGTTTCTGAACTATTTATTTACAGTTCAAAGTCACAAGCATAATGCTACAAGCAAAACAGGATCACAAACAATACAGCACTACTTAGGGAATGTTTAAAAACACACCATCAGGAAGACATTATTTCATGCTATTCAGCATTGATGCTATATTGTATTATGTAAACAATAAAAGCCACACAGAGAGGAAAAAATAAGAAAAAAAAAAGGAAGACACTATTTAGGGACATAAACAGCTGTGGTAAAATACCTAGGAAAATCTACACTTGTGGTTCCCAACCCTCACTGCACACTAGGATTTCTGAGAGCCCCTCAAAGTCCAAATGCACCAGCCACACAATGTTCTATCACACCCACCTCAGGGCCAGGACACAAACACCAGTACTGAAGTTCTTGGGTGACAAGCTTGAGATCCACCTAGTGACCCCAAAGTCAAAAACAGTGGTTACCCAAGGAAGGGAAAAGGGCAAACAGACAAGGTAGAAAGAGGCTTGGTCTGAGTGCTTTTCTAGGGGAGTATGCTCATAATAAAATGAAGGGCTTGGGCCAGGGATATAGCTCGGCAGTATAGCACCTGCCCGGCAAGCGCAAGGTCCTGAGTTTAATTCCCAGCACTAAATAAATAAATAAATAAAATAACTGAAGGGCTCTTCAATCTAGTTATATAAGGATCTGCCAGAGAAGGGAAACCATGTAAGGGTGGGAAGGACCGTACCAAGCTACAGGGACCAAACAGGTGAGCACAGGCCAAGGCTAAAGGGTCTTAGAGAAGGAACTACACAATCCACGGGCCCAATGGTGATACTGACAAAGACTCATGTAAAACTTCTAGCACTGTAAGAACTGAGCTTTTCACAGGAGGAGACAGGGAAAGGCCTGCTCACTGCCAGTGTCCTCTCAGAGATGCTAGCCTTGTAGGGCATGATGTAGAAATTAATGTTTCACTCGTAAGGGCCAAAGCTGGGCATCACCTCCCCACCCTCCCTGCTTCAGCTGCTCACAGGGAGGCTCTTTCTCATAGCCACACCCCTGGCCCAAGCACAACGAAGGCTCCTCCAAGTGATCAGGCGCTGTATCAAGTTCTTTCTAATACCTCGTTCATGCCGCATAACTGCTAAACGTTACCCTTCACAACTGACAAACAAGAAACAGGCTCAGAGAAAGTCCCTTGCCCAACGCCACTATTCCAGTAAGTGGCAAATGTGTCAAAATTAGCACAATGCCTGACACTTGGGAACAGTTCCACAAATATGACCCATGACTGTTACCATGTGGCAGAGCTGGGACTTAAATTCAAGTCCAACTCTGGCTGCCAGACCCAACTCCCATGGCACACGCCTATCAGTTCTAGTATTACATGGATATGATACGGAGCTCAGACAGGCAGGGAACAAAGGGAGGCTCTTCGCCACCTTGACCCCAGGCCCCTCCTGAAACAACTGCTTTTTTAGAGACCCTTTAACGAGTCCTAGTAACATACCACCCACACTATTCTGTGCCATCAAAGCCCCTGTTCTCCCAGCAAGCTGCACTGCTGGACTCACTTGCCTGGATAAAATGCACTTGATATTTCTGTCCAGCATCCAGGCCAGGAGGAAGCTGTGACATGTAGGCAGTCTATCCCAATCTGCACCCAAGGGTGCACTTCAGGCACCGTGTGGGCCATGGTCAGGCTGTGCAGTGCTCTCCAAGGGCAACGGGACAGCTTGGCTAGGCAGGCAATGGCTGGGAGATCAGATACTCAGCCTGACTGCCCAAGCCATGGGAACCCAGCAAGGGCTTCAGCACAAAACCAGCAGTCAACCCTTAAGACTGCCTTTAGACCGCCTGGCAAGGCTGTCTAGAAGAGACTCCCACTCAGCCTTCAAAGTGGCTGCTCTTCCTGTGTGTCCCCCAACAAAAACATCTGGGTAGGGCGGAAGAAAAGCCACAACAATCCTGGATTCTTAGATAACATGTTTCCTTCTACAGCGGGAGTGCTATTGTCTTGATTTCCATAAATACTCTTAAGTGGGGTGTGGCACAGCAAAGGGGAGCCGCCCACTCATAAAGCGCTAAGTGTTTTCTAGGTGAGACACAGTTGGCAGTTCTGGGGCTCTGACTTCACCTGACCAGAAACCCAAGTTCACGGGAAGCCCAGGGAGGCAGACCCTGACCCTCTCTGGCCTTCTCAAAGATACAGAGGGAAACACCCTAATCAGCCAGCAGCCCACGCTAGAAGCACAAAGTAAAACACAGCACACCAGGCTTTAGGGCCCCAATCTCATCTGTGTGAGTAAAAACTGACCTTCTCTCCCAAGTCCATTTCCCTGGAAGGCGGGGGCACTAGCACTGAAGGCCAGACTCAAACAGGTAAGGTAGGGCAGGGCCAAGCCACGCTGCGGTGCAGCCTGGCCTTAAGCAATCTCAGGCAGAGGGATGAAGGACAGGGATACCTGTAAATCTCATATGACCTGCCCTAACCCCAACCAGGTAAATGTACCCCTGGGCACATGCCCTTCGAATGTTCCAGGTGGGTGGGAAGCAGCAATTCTTTGCCTTGTACTAACGCAATTTTGAACAGGCATGTATAATGCAGCACTGTGCTCAATCTAGCAGGTGAGGAAAATGAGACATCAAAAGATGAAGGCACTTGGTTAGGATCACTGGATCCTAAATGGGGAGCTCGGACTCAAGTCTAGGTCTGTCAGTCTCTGTCTGGACCCCATCCTAGAAGAATGGGGTCCCGAGAAAACCCTGCCTCTTTCAGGCTCAAGTGTCATTCTGAAGTCACAAAACTGAAGGGAACCAACTAGGGCAGCTGGCCTAGATTGCGTTTTACAGAGAAGCAAGCTGAGGCCAGAAAGGACGTGTCTCAAAGGCACAGAGCAAATCCGCAACTACTCCAAGACTCAAAGAGTCCTTGTCCAAGTGACCCCTATTTGCCACCACATCTTGGATCCAATGTCACTGCCTCAGGAAAGCCCACCTGGACCACACCCAGACCAGATCCAGTCTCCCTGTGACTCTCAGGGCTCCCTGCACACTTCGAGAATGCTGAGCTCAACCAGAAGTTCTATCTGGGTGCTCACTCAGTGTTGGTCTTCTCAAGCAGACTGAAGCCCTCAAACACAAGCATGTCCTCGGCACCTGGCATAGTGCCAAGTGCACAACTGGAAGCAGACAGCTGGCACAAGGGCTCACCTTCACTGTCAGTGAGCACTTCCATGCGCCCACTGAACATGGCTTTCAGCATGGTGTCCTGCTTGGTCAGCGTCTGCATGGTGGTGTAGTACAGCGCTCCCCCGACATTCAGCTTCACGTACTTGGAGCTGGGACTTGCGCCCTTGAAGGAAGTGGTGCGGGTAGCAGCCGCTGGTACCGCTGAGCTCACCACACTTTCTCCTGACATCTCTTCCTGCCGGTGAAGAAGACACAGGGTCACCACACCAAGCCTAGTTTTCCCTTTTCAGCCTACAGGCTAAATGCTCTGCATGGTCCACACATGTACTGCATTTTTAGCCAGGCATGGCGGCACTCACCTGTAATCTCAGCACTGTGGGTGGCTAAGGCAAGAGGATTGCAAATTCAAGTCCACCTGGGTAAATCATGAGACCTTGTCTTAAGATTTAAAAAAAAAAGGGGGGGTGGGAGATATAGTTCAGTGTGAAGGCCCTGGGTTCAATCTGAAGTACCAAAAAAAACTTTTAAGAGATCATAAAAAAATCTGGATTTCTGGCTTGTCTTAAAATCAGAGACCAAAGCCAGGTATGGTGGCACACACCTGTAATCCCAGCACTCAGGAGGCAGAGGCAGGAGGATCACTGTGAGTTTGAGGCCAGCCTGGGCTACATAAGAGAGTTCAAGGCCAGTCTGGACTACATAGTGAGACCCTGTCTCAAAAAAAAGAAAAAAAAAGAAAAAAAGTGTAAGCCGGGTGTGGTGGAAAACGCCTATAATCCCAGCACTCAGGAGGCTGAGGGAGGAGGACTGTTGCAAGTTCAAGACCAGCCTGGGCTACAAAGTGAGCTCAAGACCAGCCTGAACTGCAGAGTGAGACCCTGTCTCAAAAAAACAAAAATAAATAAATAAATAAAGCTATCTGTGGGATGACGGGGACAAGCAGAGTGAGTCTGCGCCTCCTCCATTCTGTCTGTGGGACAGTGGGGACTTCTGAGCATAGTGAGTCCATCACCTGTGATCTCTCCATTCCCTTTGTGGGACTGTGGAGTCTGCAAGCAGAATGAGTCTACCCACCCACACCTACACCCCCACACACTTCCCACATCTCCCCCCAGCGCTTCCTCCATTCTCTCTGTGGGAAGGTGGGGCCTCCGAGCAGAGGGCTGCAGGGTCTTTGAGGGGAGTGTAAGGTTTACACAAGCTTTTGTAGAGGAGACTGATAGGAGCCCCAGACCTGAGACCCAGGACAATAGCCAGATCCCAGGTGCACAGGTACACACACGACCTCAAAGAGCACAGTGATTGGAGAGACCATCAGTGTGGAAGCATCTGATGCAGCAGCAAGAAGCTAGGGGTTCAATTCTGGAGAACTCTACCAGCGGAAGTCCAGTACCAGGCCCCTCATCAAGAAGCCAGGATCAGCTCCATACCCAACACATTTCTGGGATTAAATATGGACACTATCACAGAACTGTAGGCAACAGAGGTATTTTACTATTTTCATTCTCCCTTGTTTGTCTGATTGGATACCCCCTCCCGTCTGGATCTTGTTTTCTTCCGTATTTTGTAGTTATTTTTTATTTGGAGTTTTTATATTTTCTTTTTCTATATTTCTCTTCCTCTCTCTCATTCCTTTTTTTTCTTTTTCTCCTTTGGTTGACTTTTGATCTTTTTCTTTCTTCCTTCTTTTTTCTTTTTTTTTTTTTTTTTTGGTTTTTCTCTGGTACCGGGAACCAAACTCACAACCTTGTGCTTGCCAGGCAAGCGCTTTTGCCGCTGAGCTAAATCCCCAGCCCCTCCCTTCTTTTTTCAATGTCTAGGTTTCTCACCTTTTTTCATGCTCTTCTATAAACAAAGCGGCAACTGAAACTATTTATTACTAACTGGACTACTTTAGCCAGGATGTCATACATGTTATAAAGTTTTTCTCTCCTGTCTGATAAGACTGACTGTACGAGGTCATAGTCACCACCACAGCCCAGTATCAAAGGATTAGGAACTGAGCCAAAGAGTAACCTTGAGTCCTCTATAAATTGGGAAACTAGAGCTTTGGGACTGCTATAAGAAACCACTTACGTCTAGAAGATATCCCTGAGGAACAAACACCCTCTAGGGAAACCTAAATACTAGTGATAAAGCTATGTATCATAAGAAACCAGCAAGTATCAACACAGAAAACAAAACATAAAAGAGAAAACAGAAAAGGACAAGATTCAGAAGCAAAATGCAACTCCATACCTCCTGGTCCACCCGGGACAAGCTTGGAACTCAAGGAGATAGATGAAATTGGAAACCAAACCCTGGAACTTTCTGAAATGATAGCAGCAGAAGTGAAAAAACAAGTGGAAAAGGCTATGGAGAAAAATCAATTCTCAGGTACAGAAAAATATGATGCTTAAAATAAAAGATATTAGAAAAGACAGATAATAGAATAGATGAGCTTAGAAAAATGACAGGAACAAATAGGAAAGAAATGGAATCCATGAAACAGATCAAAATAGAAATCCAAGAGATTAAAAACTCCACTGAAAGTATATGCAACAGGTTGAATGAAGAAGATAGGATTTCAGATCTTGAAGACAGAAAAATTAGCAAGAGACGATGAAAAAACAATCCAACAGCTACAAGATGAAACAAAGAATAACAACATAAAATTGACTGGGGTCAATCAATGAGAAAGCTGGAGACAGCACAAATGACATAAAAACACTCTTCACAGAAATAATGGCAGAAAACTTCCCAAGCGTGGATAAAGAATTTGATATACAAATAAATGAAGCATTTAGAACTCCTAACATTCCTGACCAAAATAAAACTATACCAAGACATATAATAATCAAGATTCCAGAAATTCAGCACAAGAATAAAATATTAAAAGCTGTTAAGAGAGAAGAAACAGATAACTTATAAAGGAAAACCCATCAAAATCATGCTAGACTTCTCAACACAGACCCTCAAGTCAAGAATAGCTTGGAGTGAAGTATTTCAAGTCCTGAAAGAAAACAACTTCCAGCCCAGATTGACGTACCCAGCAAAATTATCTTTCAAAATTAATGGAGAAATAAGATACTTCCATGACAAATAACTGAAAAGGTTTATGTACACCAAACCAATGCTACAAAGAATACGAAAAGATACATTAGAGATAAAAACGACCACATTCCAAGAACAACAGAAAAAAACCACTAGGCATGGCAAGCAATTAAACAAAGGGGAAAAGCAAGGAACCAACAGCAGGAAAATACCATGACCAATATAAGCCAATACATATCAGTTATAACTATCAATGCAAATGGCCTCAATCAAAAGAAACAGACTGGCAGAGTGGACCAAGAAACAAGATCCAACAATATGCTGTATACAAGAAACACATTTAACACAAAAAGAAATTCACAGACTGAAAATCAAAGGATGGAAAACAATCTTCCATGCAACAGGAACTCAGAAAAAAGCAGGAGTAGCTATTCTTTTTGCAGACAATGTCAACTTCAAACCAAGGATGATCAAAAAGGATAAAGAAGGTCACTACATACTTGTTAGGGGGAAACTTCAAGAGGGAAAGATAATAATCATAAATATTTATGCACCAAATACAGCAGCACCCAACTATGTAAGACAATTATTAATAGATATGAAAAATCAAATAAGCAATAACACAATTTTAATAGGAGACTACAATACCCCACTGTCACAAAGAGATAGATCAACTAGACAAAAAATCAGCAAAGAAATAATAGAACTGAACCAAACCTGTGAAAAAATGGATTTAATAGACATTCACAGAATGTTCCATCCCACAGCATCAGAATACACATTCTTCTCAGTTGTACACAGGACGTTCGCTAAAATAGACCACATACTAGCCCATAGAGCATGCTTAACTAAATGCAATGGAATTTAAAATTATCCCATGAACATTATCTGACCATACTGCAGTGAAATTGGAAATTAATGACAAAAGGAACCACAAAAACTCCATAAACACATGGAAATTAAATAACAGCCTACTGAATAACCAGTGGGTCACAGATGAAATTAAAGAACAAGTTAACAATATCTACAAACAAACAAAAATGTTAACACAGCTTACCTGAATCTGTGGGATGCAATGAAAGCAGTCCTCAGAGGGAAGTTTATAGCAGTAAACTTACACATCAGGAAAACAGAATGAGAACAAATAAATAGCCTAATGCTCCACCTTAAACTTTTAGAAAAAGAAGAACAAGTCAAGGCCAAAGCCCAAAGAAGGGAGGAAATTATAAAAATCAGGGCAGAAACTAACACAACTGAGACTAAGAAAATAATACAAAGAATTAATGAATCAGAAAGTTGGTTCTTTGAAAGAATAAATAAAATTGATAAACCCTTCACCAACCTTATCAAAAAAAGGAAAGAAAAAACTCAAATTCATGCAACAAGGAATGAAAAGGGTGAAATCACTACAGATCCTATAGAAATTCAGAAGACCATCAATACCTACTTTGAAATCTTTACTCCCATAGGGTAGAAAACACAGAAGAAATGAACAGATTCTTAGATACTTATGAATTACCAAAGTTGAATCAGGAAGATATAAAAACTCTGAATAACTCAATATCAATTAATGAAATTAAAAATGTGATTAAAAACCTACCAACAAAGAAAAGCCCAGGCCCTGATGTATTCACAGCTGAATTCTACAAGAAATTCAGTGAAGATTTAATGCCAACATTCCTCAAACTCTTCAGTGAAATTGATTTTTTTTTCCCCCGGTACTGGGAATCAAACTTACAACCTTGCACTTGCCAGGCAAGCACTGTGCCACTGAGCTAAATCCCCAGCCTTCAATGAAATTGAAAAGGAAGAAATTTTCCCTAACTCATTTCTGGAGGCAAGTATCATACTGATACCAAAACCAGAGAAAGACCCAACCACAAAAGAAAATTACAGACCAATCTTCCTAATGAACATACATGCAAAGATACTCAATAAAACACTAGCAAAGAGAACTCAGCATATCGTCAAGAAGATTATACACTATGACCAAGCGGGATTCATCCCAGGGATGCAGGGATGGCTCAGTATATACAAATCAATAAATGTAATATACCATATCAACAGAGCCAAAGACAAAAACCACATGATCATTTCAGTAGATGCAGAAGAAGCTTCTGACAAAGTCCAACACTCATTCATGATAAAAATCCTACAGAAAATAGGAATAAATGGTCTTTACCTCAATCTGATAAAAGCCAT